TATATCATTATTGGGAGTTATCGAAAGTCATTATGGGGTATCCCACCCCTCAGTGTGCTGTCTATGAAACTGTTCTGTGGATTCTGTATCCCACTGTTTTTTTTGTTATTTTGAAACTTTGAATAATTCAAGTGTGAATTTCTAATGTCATATTTGTTAACAGCAAGAAAAAACGGGGCTGTCTTTTCAAATTTTCTTTGGAATGTTGAACCACGCTGGTTTAAAGAGCACGATATTGTTCAGCTTATTTAACTGGGAAAAGAAGATGAAATGGAGGAATTATTTATTTGAATTAGGCTATTCATTACTTCAGCTCTGTTTGAAAAGAAGACTGCAAGTGAAGACACTCATATGAACGGTGTGTTGCAACGTAAAAGAAATTTTGGGAATTAAAAAATAAATGACTATAAGCCAAATATTTGTTTTGCACTAGAGAGAAAATTATGAAGACAAAAATGGTTTGTCAGCAATGTAAGAGACCTACCTGCAACGAAGACTTTTTGCTTGGATTGTTGTGGTCACATAAATGGCCCCCATTTTAGGTTATATTATCTTTTTAAGTAAAAAAATATTTTTTTCCTTTATTATGTATATATATATATTACATTCCAAATATATATATTTAATTGCTATTTAATATATATATGATAATTGATCCTTTTTTGATTTTTTAGAGATGTAAATGATAACTTTTTACTCTATGTTAGCATATAAAATATATTCTCTTACCTTGAATTTATTTATTTATTTGTTTTCCTGGTTGCTTAGCTTATTTCTGAAAAGTATTTGAGTCTTCCAGACCATGACAATTAAATTATATGATACTTTCATGCTTGAGATGTACCACACCCCAGAGTGTCAGAATGAGTTGACTTTTTTTAGTGTGTCATTTTACGGTTAAGAATTAGCCCATTATTATTATCATTTATATATTATGGTAGTTATAAATTGAAGTCTAGGAGAATTTGTCTAATTATATGAAATAGTTTAAGATAAAAGATATATAGTTTCCTCAAGACCTTCATCAAGAAGATATTCCTGTACAATTAAATTCAAAATGAGTGAAAAAATTGAAGGGTTAGCCGCCTTATTAACTTATTTTCAATTAGTAATTTAAAATCTTTAAAACAATATCAGATTAAATTCTTGATATAATCGGAGGTTACCTTATGTGACGTTGATTTACAATTTAGCCTGGTGATCTACCGGAACCGATCCTGTTCCCGTCCAGGTCTGTGGGATGTGGAAAAAGGGGGCTGACGGAGATCCCTACGCTTCTGGCGCAGACCACTTCACTGGGGTTGCAAGACCGGTCGGGGGAGGAGTAAGAGCGATACAGCCACTGACACTCATGACTTTAGTGGAGATCTGACCATTGCTAGAACTCCAAAATATACATATTTACAAAAGGTGCGTAGCACTGCCGCTTTAACTACGTAATGTGGGGATTGTAGGGAAAGGGTGGTGCTTGTATAGGGATTGTACAACGGGATTTGGGTGATGAGAAAGGGGGGTGAAATGTGGAGATTTGGCTGGGAGAAGGTCATAGGATGGATGTGGGGATGAAGGCATGAGGCAGGGATGTTATTGTTTATGTTACATAGAGGGAGCATGGGACTAGTGTACGGAGGACTGGTATGGAACTGAAAGGTTCGAATGCTGTGGGAGTGGGAGAGAACTTAGCTGTTGCCATAATTGGGAGTCCGTAAGTCCAGGTGTGGTTCAGTATTGTCTTGTAGATGGGTAATTGTTGTTCACAGAAAGTTTAGAATTTATATATTATGGTAGTTATACAAATTTAAATCTCGGAGAATTTGTCTATTTTATATGACACTCCCCGTCATCAGATAAACAAACTCCCCCCCCCCCCCCTCCCCCCGCCCTCCCCCCCCCCCCCCCAACCCCCCCCCCTACCAACGCACCCCCACCCCCCCCCCCCCCCCCCCCTACCATAAAACGCCCCCCCCTAACCGCACCCATCCCCCCCCCCCTCCCCCCACTGTACAATTAAACTTCAAAATGAGTGAAAATTGAAGGTTACCCGCTTATTAACTTATTTTCAATTAGTAATTTCAAATCTTTTAAACAATATCAGATTAAATTCTTGATAAAATCCTCGACCAAAAGATATTTGAATATTTAAGCAGGAGAAAGTACCTTTAAAGACATGTTCATGAGTTCATATTCATTTAGTTCTTCAAATGTCAAAAACATTGATCAGCGGGTGTGGATAAAGATTTCATATCTAAAAAAAATGATTGAATTTAAATAACAGTTTTCAAAATACCTAATCAAATAAAACCAATTCAAACATATTTTTTTTTATCAATATTTATCCTTACGTATTAATATTTTAGGTAGGATTTCATTAAAAAAAAAAACACTTTCATGTCTGATTTTATTACTTTCTATAAATATATTTTTATTTTATCACTATAAAATTTCTTTATAACTTAAGATTCAAATAAATCTTATGAGACAATAAGAAAACTTTATAATTTATTATTCTTTTACCTTTTATATCCATAGATTCTTAAGTTAGTAAATACTTAACATAAATAATGAATCAAGCATACACATAAATAATTGAAAATGATTTTAGCACAACTCAATAAAAAGAAAATAATATTGATAAATTTATTATTTTAAATAGTAGTTAAATGTTAAAAGATGGAAACACCAATCAAAGAAACTGAAAAATAATCATTTTTTACTATGCTTCAATAAATAAATTAATTTAACGAAATAAAATTAATTCAATTCCAAAGTGTAATTCCTAGAGAATATTTTTCATTTTGTATTAGGATAGTAGGAGGAGGTCAAAGGAGCTTTGAGTCATTGACTGGCTCCATAGTGCTGCTGTCTTGCGGCAGTTGTTAGAACTACAAGTACATGTTCTGGGGGGCCTAGGGTAACAGAACCACAGGATGACTGGTTTTTTACTTTGAGAATTTTACGAAACCGGCACCTTACCGTTGTTCAAGCGATTCATCAGCTCGAAGAATTTTGAGGTTTGCAAATTTCTGAACGTACCGCTCGGAGAAGATTAAATGAGAATGAATTAATGGCTTTTCGTCCAGTAAGAGGACCAGAGTTGACCAGAACTCACAGAGTACCACGGCCGGCTTTTGCTCCAGAACACAGTCATTGGACTATGGAGGAATGGAGTGCTGTACTTTTTACAGATGAGTCAAGATTCGCTCTTCGATCTCCAGACGGGCATGAAAAGGTGTGGAGAAGAAGAAAGGTTTATTAGTAGACTTGTATTGAATAATTGTTTTTGGTCACTCTCTTTTAAGTTTAATTAAATTATTTTTAATTGATGTAGATTTTGAATATTAAAAAAAACTTAAATAGAGTTTGGCCATTAAAAAAACCTAGTTGTCTTACACCTCCAAAAATGTAGACATTATTTACTGTTTTTAACCAAGATAATATTTGTTTGATCTGGTAAAAAAAAAATAATCAAGGTAGTTTGTTGTTAAGCTGGAATTATAAATTATCTGATATATTGAAAACATGAGATTAAATTTTAGATATGCATGAACATTTTTTTAAGACTTTATCTATAAAATATACATGTTTTTAAACTCCCAATAAGTACATAAAAAATATAAATTCATTATTACCTTACATGATTTAATTTAGTATAATCTGTATTGATATTGAACTAGCAAATTGGAGTTTGAGAGTCTATTTCCAATATAGAGGTCCATCTAAGAATTAATGTTATTCCTCAGAGAATATGTAGCATTTCATTCTTCCATTGGACAATTTAAATTTTATAAAAACTTATTAGGTTTAAATTTGGGTTTGAAACTCACGAGAGTACGCAGAGGAGGGCTATTCTTCCTCATGAATAATTTGAAACAAGAGGTTGCAAAAAGATTTGTCTAAATATTGCAATTGTAACTAAATATTTTTAAAGAGTGAATACAAAATCTTCAAACATTCATAAAAGTACATATTAGTGTGGAAATTAATACAATCTCGTTGTTTGAGATGAATTAATAATGATATCAGAATGGTGATTTTCATATTTGATAGCATTTGTATCAAAAAAATAAAACACTTAAATAAGAAGATATATTAAGTACAATATATCTTTTTAAACCCAAAAGAAATAAACAGATTTTCACCTATTTTCATTTTTTCTTAATTCTTGACACATCTAAAATAATTTTATATGACTAATACAACATTAGTTAAATTGACTACGTCTTCACAATTCTGAATGAATTTCTCTTTATTAGTGTGATGATTTTAAAATATTTATACAGTCGTGATCATAGAAATTGCACCACCTATTTCTTTTAATTGATATGTTGATGACGCTGATTCCATTGAATTTTTTTGTTTATCTTTACTCATTAAGGTTAAAAGAAAACTTTAACAATGTTCTAACTAATTTTAGGATAAAAGTTGTAATTATGACGTGTATAAAAAAATATTAAAATTGTGACGTTACCTGAAGTAAATGAATTTTCACAAGAAATAGTAACGAGAATAGGGTACCACCAATCAACGGTAATAATAGTTTTGAGAAAAAAAAAAGGCACCATGGAGCGAAAGAAAATTAAAAATTTAGAAAAAAACCAAACAAACAATTTGACTTTTAATGGTGTAATTGTTTTTAGAATATCATTTCAAAACAAGCAAAGAAATATCTGGATATCATGCAGATAGCATTCTGGTAACTAAAATGAAATTTAATAAAATTTTTACTGGGTGATCCAATTTCTATGACCGTGACTGTAAGTACAGACAGGCTCTTTCTCACCATTGAATACTTACAAAATTATTAGAGATGTCCATCAATTTATTTCTATAATATATCACCTAATGTGCAACTAGCATGGTAGCAAATAGTGAAGACTGGGAGACTACAAGGCTCAACCAGAACTAATTCAGCCCTAATGCTTAAGATGCAATAACACGTTTTTATTATAATAGATCTTCGGCAACTACAAATGTTTAACTATATAATATTATTAAAAAAAAAAAAAACTTCTTTTAAGTAGAAATCAGAACATTTTAAATTTTTCCAGAAAGTATTATACCACAAAGGTAATTTTTTTTTTTACAATGAAGTGAACAGACAACAGTCCCTATGGTCTTCTTGCAGTACATGTATAGCATAAACAATAATAGCATTTTGGTTATCTTACATAAAGAAAAACACGTAAGTGTTGATAGAAGAGATTAGAATATTCTTTAAGAATACATGATGGATAAATGTAATACTATAATTATATTTTTAACAAAATATAAGTAATATGGGTGATAAATAGTCAGGACGCAGTCATTATAAGATTTTTTTTGTTATTGTTGATGTTTCAATCCAAACTTTTGGGTCATCAGGACATATTACCAGCAGTGAAGGTGTTCCTACTGTATCCTGGCTATTTTATCACCCATGATATGCAGAACAGTCAACTGACTTGCTTCAATAACATAAATAATACAGACTTGAAATGGAAGAAAATTTTCTTGTAGCAACATTGTGGTAACATTTTATTTTCATAAACTTTTAATATAAAAGTATTACAATCTGGCTAAAATATCTTATTTTTAGAGTATTTACACATTAATAAATATTACATTTTTTTTTTTCTTTTTACGTTTCTATAACATATTTATATTTCAGGATAATATGTTTTAGCAAACTTCGCTCTCCAGCCGGTCCAGTGTTTCTTCTTTGGCCGCTGACTTTTTGGTATATATTTTCTCATATGTTCGTAATATTTCCTTTCTTCGAGAGGATCTTCATCTCTTTCAAAGGGTCGTATCCTCGCCTCCAATGGCCGAGTTTGGAACTTGATTTTATAAATTCTTTCCCAGTCATAAATTTCATAACCCAACTTGTGTCTTGGCCTAAAAATAATTTACAATTAAAATAAAAAAGTAATAATTAAAAATAAAACAATTGACAGATAATTTAGAATGCAAAATACATCATATGTTCATGTTCCAGCAATGGCAACTAATTTAAACTCTTAATTTTATAACAGTAATCATATAAAAAATTGTAAATAATATTAGTCGTGATAAATTGATTAAAATAAGCTGAACGTTGTTAAAGTATGATATTCTTGTCATAATGATTTAATAATTGATTAATTGATTTGAGTAAGGATCTTTGATACAACCGACAACTATCACAACTTAAAAATATTTTCAAAATGATGTAGAGTTGGTTGACCGTTGATATGATATGAGAAGGAATTAGTCGAGGGTGCGGTCAAAAAAATAAAAAAAATTAAAATATATAAATAATTTTAATTTTTGCCGACGTTTCGACCCACTTTGCAGGTCGTCTTCAGGGCTACAAAAGATACAAACATGTTGAAAAAATAAAAATAAAATAAAAAATAAATATAAGTATATATAAATTACGAAGAAGTTGTCAGATACAGAAATAAAAGATAAAGAAAATAAATACATGATAAGAAAATAGATTTATTTTCTTTTATCTATTTTCTTATCATGTATTTATTTTCTTTATCTTTTATTTCTGTATCTGACAACTTCTTCGTAATTTATATATACTTATATTTATTTTTTATTTTATTTTTATTTTTTCAACATGTTTGTATCTTTTGTAGCCCTGAAGACGACCTGCAAAGTGGGTCGAAACGTCGGCAAAAATTAAAATTATTTATATATTTTAATTTTTTTATTTTTTTGACCGCACCCTCGACTAATTCCTTCTCATAAAAATATTTTCCTATTTAGAATACATGGGTATTTTAAGTTTCACAACAGCCATGAAGAAATAAGTCCAAATTTCCGATACATAAGCAAAACATAAAATAATAATGACAAAATTGTCAGGATGTGCAGTCAAAAATTTCTTTATCGAGTTTGCCTATGTTTTGGCCCAAACATGTTGCCATTAGGGCAATGGTTTCAGCTCCACTTCTTTAAACCACTGTCCTAATGACCAACATGTTTGGGTAGAAACATCGGCAAACTCAATAAAGAAATTTTTGACTGCATATTCTGACAATATTTCATCCTTACAATTTTAAAAGTGAAACCTTTGATTAAATTTCTCCCAAAATAACAGTTATTCAGATTGGCCAATATATTTTACATCCTGAAAAGTGCTTAAAAATGAAATGTATAATTGGTAATTCAATTTTTATCATATTAGACCTGGTATAATGAAATATTTTATCTATTGCATAAATTATATAAAAAAAGCCACACAAGAAATTAATATAATAAGCATTAATCCACAATACATTTGAAAGATAACAAACCTATTCGAATACATATGCCTAAACTGTGCATGTAACCAATCTCTCCTATCTTCATCTTGTATATGAGCCAAAATCTGTTCTTCTTTTCCTAAATAAGGCTTCATTTCAACGCCTTTTCTTTCCACTGGTCTGCACAAATACATAGATATCAGCGCTCTCAGTGTGTCATCATTCCATCCTTTAAGAGAAATAAAACTGAAGCATTAAGTAATTCATAACAAATATTAACCATTAAAAATTAAAAAGTGAATGGAAAATAGTGTTTTATATATATATATATATATATAAGATAAAGACCGGAGACTGGCGGTATCAGCCTTAATACTATCTGGTAATGTAAATAAACAGGCTAAGTGTATATAAGGAGGCTTATGGAACGAATAAAGCAGTGTTATTTCAGAAGTCGTGTATGTTACATCTTTTCCCTTTTCCTTCTTTTTTTTTATTTCTTAAGTCCGACGACGCTTAACTGGTGCCGAAACCCGGGACAACGTCAGGGAAGTAATTTTTTTTTAGTAGACATTTTTTTTTTGTTTGGTGTTTAAGGAAAAGGTGAAATGCCGACAGAAGGATTGATTAGACCGGGAGTACTAAGCGTACCGGAAATTCCTCAACCTCAGGAGATTCCACAGATCAATCAGGTACCCCAGATCGCGCCTCAGGTTCAGGTACCTCAGATACCTCAAGTCCCTCAGGTAGCACAGATCCCTCAGATCCAGGAGATCCCTCCATTACCAAGGGACACGTTGGCAGAAGCACACGCCAATGCCTTGGAATGGATGAAAATAAGAGCAACAACCACGCAGGACTTACGGAGGGCCATTGCGGACCTAGAACGATTCGGAGGCGAGGTAGGCGAGCTCAACCATTTCTTGAAAGGCGGAGATCGTCTTATGTCAAGAATCGAGGTGAAGGTGGCGGAGGACCTGGTGAACCTAGGGGACGCGGAAGAACTAAAAGCAGCTCTTGTGTGCCGAGTAAGGAGGAACGTCCTGAACCAGATCCAAGCGGACGAGGAGACTCCGTGGCCGGTGATTAAGGAGCGGCTGAAGAAGGCTTTTGGAGGAGGTAGGTGGACACCGGAAGAGGACATATTCCAAATGTTTAGGGAGCGGCGGGCCCAACGACAGTCAAGGGGGCAATATGCGGGAGTACTCGTGGCGAAGTACAATCGCATAACCGAGAAGATGCGGGAAACAATGAGCGTGGGAGAGGTCGAAGCCAGGATGGAGTTTCTGTCGACAATATTGAAAGTCCAGCTGGCTTAAGAAACGGGGAAGAGGGACGGACTGCCCAGAGAGCGATCGTTCCTCGAATGCGCCCAGGAGATGATCGACCTAAGTGCCAGAGAGGAGGAGACACGGATGGATGTGGAAGAACCGGGTTGGACCCGAGTGACTGATAGACGACCATGGACAGCCCCGACAGGTTGGAAGAAGAGGGACACAAGGCAGCCGAGTGGAGAAAAAGCCCCGACGAGGGAAAGAAGATCGGGACAGTCTTCGAGGCCGAGGAATGGGCCCCGGAGGGAAGAGAGAAAATGTCACGGGTGTGGGAAGCCGGGACATTTAGTAGCGCAATGTCCGCGCACCAGATGCTTCGAGTGCGGGACGGAAGGGCACATAGCAAGGCAGTGCCCATACATATTTCACAGGAGGGAGAGACCTCAGGACGAACCCATGGAGGTGAATGTGCAGAGGATGAAAAGACGAGCCAGGGTACATCAGCGGGACGGATCTTCGGAGGAGGCAACCGAGGAGTCAGGAGCGTCGGGAACGGAGACGGACGAACCAGGCAGCAGCGGAGGTGAAGGAGGTAGGCGCAGCCAACGGAGTGAGCAGCGACGAGCGGCGGCAGAAAGGAGGAAGCGGGACGACATCTGAGGAGTGTGTCGGCAGAGAGGCGACCGCACAGCAATATGCAACAACATCCGAGGTAAGCCATGCTGGTTGCCAATTATCGAAGTAGACGGGGGAGTAAAGTGTCTTGTGGACACGGGTAGCTCGAGCACTATTATGACTCGAAGGGCGTTAGGAAAAGGGTGCGGGAGCGAGAGGGTACTCCGGATACAGAAATGTGACTGCCAGCTGATCACTCTGGGTGGTCCCTGTAGTGTAGAGGGTGAGGCGACAATTGGGCTTGATCGGTGGACAGGGAAAGGGGGTGAGCTAACGGTGCATGTGGTGGAGAACATGACTCGGGAATACCAAGTCATAGTAGGGTGCGATTTGTTAGGTCAGGTAGGGGCGAGCATTAGAAATCGTAGAGGAGTCTGGAGCGTTAGGTTAGGAAAGAGGAAGTTCGGATGTATAGGGGTCGCGAGAGAAAGAAGGGTGCGGATAGGAGCGGTGGACAGAGTGGAGGACTGGAGGAAGTTGCTACAAGAGGAGTTTAGGGATATCTTCTTCAGGGAAGGTGAGGTATTAGGGGTAACAGGGAGGACGGTGCACGAAATCCCACTGAAACAGGAGAGGGTAACTTACGTGAAAGAGAGAAGATACCCGCAGGCGTTGAGACAGCATATTCGGGAGGAGCTAGATAGTCTAAAAGAACAGGGAATCATAGTTGATAGCACCTCACCATTCAATAGTCCCCTGTGGGCGGTGAAAAAGAAGGCAGCGCCGGGGGATAATAAGGAAAAATACAGGGTGGTAGTAGACTATCGTAAATTGAACGATAACACGGTAGATGAGAAGTACCCGATCCCGAGATTCGAGGATATACTCGATAGGTTGAGTGGGGCCGTGGTCTTTAGCACGCTGGACCTCAAGGCGGGATACCACCAAATACGGATGCACCCGGAAGACCAACACAAAACAGCGTTCACATTTGAAAGGGGGCATTATGAATTCACCAGAATGCCGTTTGGTCTGAAGAATGCGCCCATAACATTCCAGCGTCTGATGGACGAATTTTTGAGGGGCATCGATGACTCGGTATGCCAGGTATACATGGATGACCTGCTGATTTTTAGCAGAACGGAAACCGAGCACGTGGGACATCTGAGGGCAGTATTCGAAAGGCTCCGGCAATTCGGGCTGAAATTGTCAAGCGAGAAGTCTCTGCTGGGACAAACGCGGATCAATTTTTTAGGCCACACTATCTCTAGCGAGGGGGTCAGACCGGATGCGGCAAAGGTGGAGGCAATCACGCGGATGGCGGTACCACGGGACGTCAAGGGGATTCGTAGGCTTCTCGGGACGCTGAATTATTACCGGAGATTCGTACCCGAGATGGCAGAGTATTTGGTACCCATTAACAATTTGTTGAAGAAAGGCGCGAAGATTGTGGTGACACCAGAGATGGAGAATAACATTCGAAAATGTATGAATAGGTTGCTGACGGAGCCGGTGTTAGCGTTCCCGGATTTCGAGAAGCTTTTTAATATAACCACTGATGCGAGTGAATACGCGCTAGGGGCCGTTTTGTCCCAGGGGGGGAGTGAGGGTGAACGACCGATAGCATACGCGAGCCGTCGGCTTACGGGTGCGGAATCAAGGTACAGCGCTTTGGAGAGGGAGCTACTCGCGATAGTATGGGCTATCGACCATTTCAGGCCATACGTATTCGGGAGAAAATTTCGAGTCCATACCGACCACAAACCCCTCCAGTGGGTAGGAAAACTCAAGGAAACCTCAGCTAGGGTCACAAGATGGAAGGAGATCCTAAGCCAATACAACATAGAGGTGGTGTATAAGCCGGGAAAGGAAAACGTGGTGGCAGACTGGCTCTCGAGGGCCATCATGATCAACGCGGTTGAAGAGGATAGGGGAGGACCATCGCAGGACGTGCGTCAATTCTTGAGGGAATGGACTCCCGATGGCGAAGGGGCAAATGACACCGCAGGGATTGAGGACAGGGGAGATTCCCCAGAAGAGGAGAGCTCAGCGGAAGAAAGGGCAGCGGAGATGGAAGAAATAGAGGAGATCGTGAACGACAAACACCGTCAGGTGATTTGGAAGACACGAACAACCGGAATCATGAAGATCGATTTCAGAAGGTACGGGAGAAGTAGGATCCGCGTCATTTGGTCGCAGCCCGGGGTCAGCGAAGAACAAATCTGTACGGCACTGAGGGATGCCTCGGAAGCGGGTAAAACGCACTACCTATACGTGGGAAACAATACGGTATGGGATAAGATCAAGCGAATGTGGAGGTCCGAGCGAATAGGCGTGGACAGGACATTCATCCGGTGCAAGTATGCTGTGGAGACGGTACAGGACGAAGAGCAGCAGCAAGCAATCACAGTAGCATATCACCAGGGGAAAACCAATCACCGAGGCGTTAATGAGACGCTGCAGGCATTGCGTCGGAAGTATTTCTGGTGGGGCATGAAGAGGTCCATCCAGGAAGTCATTGGGAAATGCGAGATATGCATGCGCACAAAATACGATCGACACCCCCCCAGAGGAGTTCAGGAGGAGACACCTACAGGGAATATGCCGCTACAGGACCTTCAGATTGACACGTTTAGCTGGAAAGGGTTTAAGTGGGTCACGGTAATCGACATATTCAGCAAGGTGGCGATGGCATACCAAGTGATGGAGAAGTCAGCCAATGCAGTTGCGGAAGCCCTACAAACCTGGGTGCAGTTCTATGGGGTCCCCGAGAGGATTACTTCGGACGGTGGTAGGGAGTTCGACAATGCCGCGATTAGGGAGGAGGTGAAGCGATTGGAAATTGCGTGGCATTATAACACCCCAGGACATCCTAAAGGTAGAGGCGGTATTGAACGGCTGCACAGTACGTTAAGCGACCACGTCCGTGTATATCAGGGTGAAAAAGGGTTGGAGCCAGATGTGGCAATGAGGAAAGCGGTAACAGCCTATAACCACTCGATCCACTCCGTAACGGGGTTTTCACCCATGGAAGTTCTATTCGGGATGCGCAGGCCAAGGCGGGATTATGGGGAAACTACGCTTACCGAACCGTTAGTGGATCAAATTCTCAGCAATAGGGTAGAGGTAGAGAAAACATGGGGAAAGATAACGGCGAGAATTAAGCGGGAAAAGCGGAAGCGGGTGGAAAGGCAGAATGTACAGGTACGCGACCAAATGGGGGAACTAAAAATAGGAACAATAGTTTACCGGAAATTGGGAACCAACAGAGGGAAACAATTGCTACGGTACGAGGGTCCATTCAGAGTGGTTGTTATTAGGGAGCATAACCTGGTAACTATTGAGTGCGTGAATGAGCCCAGAAAGAGGAGAACCGTTCATATCGAACAATTAAAGCTCCCAATGATAGAGTCGGGACATAGACCTACGGATTCGTAGTACCCTCACCGCTGTATATAAAACAGAGAAATATGTTTTTTGTGGCTGTCAAAACAAAACAAGTTGTAAAAAATTTTTTTTTTGTTGTATTATTTCATGTATAGAGGAAATTGTGTTTTTTTTGTTGTTGTTAGGAGTTCTCAAGTGGTAGGAGTTCTAAAGTGCTGTGTTTAGTTTCAGTGTTTTTAATTATTTTTCTTTATTTATTATTTTTTCCAGTTGAGTGGAACTATTTTATTTTCTTTTAAGGATATACTGTAAAACCAATTGTAAAGTGTTAAGGCTGGTCACCGTGGGCTCCGATCGAGCAATATTTAAGTTTCCGAAAATCCTGTTCGTAAACTGGTGGGGGGGAGATAAAGACCGGAGACTGGCGGTATCAGCCTTAATACTATCTGGTAATGTAAATAAACAGGCTAAGTGTATATAAGGAGGCTTATGGAACGAATAAAGCAGTGTTATTTCAGAAGTCGTGTATGTTACATCTTTTCCCTTTTCCTTCTTTTTTTTTATTTCTTAAGTCCGACGACGCTTAACTTATATATATATATATATATATATATATATATACATATACATATAAAATAATCAAGAAAAATCATTTCCCTAATTAAAAATTACCACAATTAACAAAACCACTGAAGTTTTAAACCTTCGGACTAAAAAAGTTTTTGAGAAAAGGAATTTTTCAAATTAACAAACTATAAGAACCTAAAAACTTATTAAATAATATGAACATATATTTATAAACTTAATCATACCAATGAATTCGCTGCCTTTGATCTCCTGATACAGAGGAGCAGGTTTAAGGGCAAAACAAACATTTGACCTAGGATTGGATTCAATGAACAAAGAATGGAGTAGTGTCGTATTCAGCTGATATAGGTAGAAAGCAAAAACTCTTCCATCAGTTAGTATACACTGATTCACCAATGGATATGTCAACTCGCTGAAAGTTGAAAACCCTAAAAAAAGAGCAAACAAAGCCGTATTAATAAAAAAAATAACAGTGATTCATTTTATATGTTTGAAATATATATAAGCTATTCAACTTTAACAGTTTTTCATAAATTATGAGATAAATTGCCAAAACTTAGAATGCCAAAACCATTAAATTTTTAGCAACATTTATAAAATAAACATTGGAAGATAAAAGCAGCAGTTGTTATATACTATATAAACTGAGGCTCAATGGAACCTTCCTACATAAGTAAATATCTAAGCCAAATTATAATGGTATTTGAGGGCAGACACAATTTGTATCTTACAGGCTAAAAACAAAAAACCAGAGGTTGAAACTTTTACAAAAAAAATTCAATTCAACAGTTTCTGTGAAACTTAGTTCATAAAATAAAAATTCATAAAAAAGTTCTAAGGAAGTTTTTGTAATAAAGTTCCAGGTTTATGGTAAAGGTTAAACTTGAATTTATTCAAGCTCTCAAAAAAAAGTTCTGGAAAATAAAAAATGAACATTAATAGGGCTAAGAGTTATAATTTGTCTCAAATGTATAACACATAATTCGAATGTTCCGTTTGTTTGATTAGTAGAATAAAATACAGTTTTAGATTGACAAAACTTTTAAATAAATTTTTTTTAAAAAGAAAAGATCTGTAAAAACTTTATTTGAAAAGTTGCAAAGAAAAATGTTCTAGTTCCAAAAGAAATGAAAAACTATCGTAATAAAAATTCCGGTGATGGCGAAACTTTTCAAAAACAACAGGTTTTTTTTTCTGTTTCTAGCTCTGTACAAAACTGTGATGATAAAATATACTCATTATGCAATATATTACAAAAAAAATATAACATCATGATCCACAAATTAAAAATATTGATAGTACAGCATTCTTATAATATATATGTATATATTTTTGGGGATCTTTCCCTTCCTTGCCTTTAAGGCTATATTGGGTTTTTACGAGCCAGGGAGTGTGGGCGGGGATTTAAAAGACTCTCCCGGCACTGGGACACAAACTCGTGACTATTTTATTTCAATTTGTCTCATATATCATGTTGCCGGGCAACAGCCGAACACACGTTTGGTCACTCTGTCTACAATATATTTATAGATAATAAAAGAACATTACCTCTATTTTCATGGACTATCCATATAATACAGAAAATAAATATTAACTAAAATAGCATCCCGATGCAAGAAAAAATCCTCTAAATCCTTGATATTAAGAAATTTTTTGATTAATAAATGGTCAATTTTATTACGCTTTCTTTTTTTGAACAACTGTATTTGTTAAAGAGAATTCGATGACATTAAACCATGTACATGCATTTTAGCATGTATTCCGCACACTAAAATGTATTCCACAATTTTATTAATTTTATAAACTATTGATATCCTTTAATTAGATTTTAGTTTTAATATTCAATTCAAATATTGTACTTTTAAAAACTAACATGTATATAACGGATGTAAAATATAACTATATCAATATTTAACAACATATTTAGTTAATAAAATTAATAATATAATTCACATTTTTGAATAATTTACCAATGTTTGGGCATGTATCAGATGAGTCTATATTTAATCATTTTAATTTTTCTATTATCTATTTATTAAACTAAACTTTTATTTATTAAACTAAACTTTTATTTATTAAACTAAACTTTTATTTATTAAACTAAACTTTTATTTATTAAACTAAACTTTTATTTATTAAACTAAACTTTTATTTATTAAACTATGATAACAGATACTATTTATGTAATTATTATGTCTATTATTTAGTATACTTTGGAGAGTCCCATTTACTATTGGCTGATATGGCAAAAGGAATATCTGGTTGGTTCATATCAGATCCTATTCCAGCCAGTTTGTCAGCCTCGTTATTTCTATGGAATCCGTAATGGCCTGGTATCAAATGAAAAGCAACTTCTGTCCTGTTTTCTTATAATTTATCCAACTACAGATGGCATTTGGATTCATATTATATCCATTGAAGGGACATAATGGGTGCCCACAAGGCAACTTTTTTGTTTTCCTCTCAAGGACCTAGAGAATGGCTCTCACTTCATCTTCAAAGTTTGTAGATACTCTTCTGACCGAGGCAGCAAATTGAAATTTCAAGAGGGCAATCTGTCGCATACTTTAGAATGCTTAAAGTGCATGATTGGTCAGATAGTCCTCTGTGTTCCTTGGATAGTATAACTGAAGAATATCTCGAAACATGCCCTGCTTTAAAAAAACATAAGATGCGCAACCCTTTTGCTAGGAGAGTGAAATTATATTGAGCTGCAAGATTACACATGGATGATCAAGCAGGAATTTTTCGGGTGGAAAAAAAAAGAGTCTACTATTTATATATTAAACTAAAGTATTCATTATATGATTATGATTTTTTATTTTATCAAAAGTGGCAAAATGTACTGCAGCCAGGAAGGCCTATTGTGCGCAATGCTTCTTATCAGAGCAAATGTGCATGATTATTTACAAAAAAAAACTACCTCAAGCTATATAATTCAAAGTAAACCTAATGTTAGTGATACCTTGATAAGACGCCTGTGAAAGTAACCAACTGAAGGATGCTAAGATAGCTTGAGAATGCAGAGTATTCTGTTGATCATGTTCACCGAAATGAGATGGCCTTTGTGCAAGGTGTTCTGTAGCATGGTATGACATCAGCCCAAATTCATTCTTGTCACCAGGCCAAAAACCTGAAAATAAATATGAATATTAACATTCTAATTAGCTATATAAATAGCTATCTAACTAGTCCATTTAAAAAAAGTAATATGTAAAAAATTATTAGTTCGAATAATACATACATAAATGATAAATGATCCAAAACATTCATTTATAGAAATAACCATTATCCAGTTTTTTAAAATGAAAAATGGTATAGATGTTTTTTTTATTTTTGCAAGCACCTAAGCTAAATATGAAATAAAATTGTTGAGATCTTAATTTGAGTAATAATAATCAATTTAATTAAGATTAATCTTAATAAATTAAATTGTTCATTATAAGGTTTACAAATAAAAAAACCCATTAATTTATACATATAAACATTGATTTTTATATATAGTAAACACCTCCCTGTTGCGTCTCAGCCAATTTAAAAAAAAAAATTGTTTACCCCCTATCCAGCCATTACTGGCACATGGTGGGGAGGGTATATTAAAGTATAACCAACATTTTCTAATCAGTGGAGGAAGGTCAAGATTCATTACCACCACAAAATAAATTTTAACTGGTACTGCTCAAGGTAGATAAGGTTATGACGCCTTGATACGGTAAGCTATCATGCTCTCATTTCTCGGCCATCTAATACTGAGAGCAGCATTAATTTCATATTGAATATTTGATAGTTGACCGTTGCATTATAAAGGAAGGATATGGTCTGGGGTAGCGGTCATAAAAAGGCTAAATAGTAGTAAAACTATTTTATTAAAAGCCAACGTTTCGACCCGACTTTGCAGGTCTTCTTCAGGGCTAGAACAGACAAGATACAAACAGATAGAGAATTGTGTAAGTTACATAATATTTAGAGAAAAAATTATAAACAAAGTGAATAATCTTAATAAAATTATAAACAGTAAGTAAATTAAAATATAAACAGAGTAAGCTAAGTAACAAGATCCTAAACTGAAGTAAATAGATGGTAACAATTGTTGTAGTGTAATATATAATACATGCAAATGTGAATAAGGTTATTCACATTGTTTATAATTTTTTGTCTAAATATTATGTAACTTCCACAAATCTGTTTATATCTTGACCGTTCTAGCCCTGAAGAAGACCTACAAGATTGGATCGAAACGTTTGGGATTTGCATATATTATATTACAACAATTGTTACCACCTATTTACTTCAGTTTAGGATCTTGTTACTTAGCTTACTCTGTTTATATTTTAATTTACTTACTGTTTATAATTTTATTAAGGTTATTCACATTGTTTTTAATTTTTTGTCTAAATATTATGTAACTTCCACAATTCTCTATTTGTTTGTATCGTGTCCGTTTTAGTCCTGAAGAAGACCTGCAAAGTCGGGTCGAAGTGTTGGCTTTTAATAAAATAGTTTTACCACTATTTAGCCTTTTTATGACCGCTACCCTGGACCATCTCCTTCCTTTAGCATAATTTCACTTTCCATGAGCTTGTTGGTTACACATAAAAGCTGAACAGAGTTTATCTCATTTCATAACAGGATATCATTAGATCTCCAGATGTTTCTGTCATTCTATCGTTCAACCATTTAGAGATTACATTTAGACAGTATATTAGGATACCAATTATCAAGCTAAAAAAAAGTCTAATAATAACAATTTTAAGTTTGGTATCTATCATTCTGGAAACATAACTTCAATTATATTTTTAAGGTTTTCATGTTTTGCAGTGCAAAGACTCTCAGAATTAAACAATTCACTAAAATATATTTTATAAAATAATATGTTTACAAATATATATAAATACGAAATGTTTGTTTAAAATAACAAAACAGAAATGTTTACAGATAGATAACACTTAATATTTTTATTGACAAAAATAAAGCTCACCTGGTATATTAGTTCCGTGTCTCCGACCTAACTCAAGCCCATAAGTAAGAGTTGGGTCATAGCACTCTGAAAATGCTGCATTCAAAGACACCTCTTCTTGTTCGCTGCTGATGGCATTAGTATCAAGGGTATCCAATGGAAAAGTATGCCGAACTTGAATAACTGGATTTCCTAAATACTGAATCCAGTGTTCGACTTTTTCATTTATATCTTTTTCAGACAGTTTTTTATTTTCTTTCCTTTTATTGTATTCTTCATCATTGGGATGAAAACCTCCAACACACCAAAATGCTTCTTGCCGTGGTTCGTAATCCACCTGTCATTAGATAAAATTAAGATATTTATCTTTATTAAGATATTTATTATCTTTTAAATAAGCATTCAATAAAAAAGAAAAAAGATACATTAAAGATTCATGAGAAATTGTATACAGTCATTAGAATTTTTAACTTTAAAGGTGGTCACTAATAGTCATTCCAAATGGAATAAAGCAGTGATGACTTCAAGGAGGATCGCCTGACTCCATCAACCATGCTCCAACAGGCCATTTTCAAAATTGTTTTAAACTAGTAAATACTGTAATTTCAAGAATTAATATCAATATCACAATATTGCATTTACAATCAGAGGGGTAAAATTAGCAACTTTGCTACCTAAAACAACTGAATAATGATTAATGTTAGATCTTAAAATTAAAAAAAAAATTTAGTAAATACATATTTTATATTATTCGGGGGCAGGATGGCCGAACTGGCTAATGAGTGTGCCCAGCACCCATTAGTGATAAAATATTACCAAGTTCGTGTCCCGGTGCCATGAGCTTTTAATTCTGGCATAATTACCAGCCCTCACCCCCTGGCGCGGGAAAACCCCCACATAGCCTAATAGACGAAGGAGGGGGAAAAAAAAAATTTATATTATTCAAAGTCAACAAACTTAGAAAACTACTTCAACAGAAAACTTTATTTAACTCTTTAGTATTGATAGGATATAAATTGTAACTCTACAATAGCAATGACATTAAATAATTCAATCTTTAAAAAGAATCGGAAATTTTAAGCTTAGTATAAATTCATATCCAATAAAAACATTTATTTTCTTATAATTAAAATTAATACTTTTTAACACAGTAAATGTTACGAAACTGTAAGTTATCCATTTAAATATTTTTATAATATAATGTACACAATCAATATCATGAAGTTTAATTATATATCTGAACTACAATTTTCATTGTTTTTTTTCTTCAAAATTATGAAAAAAAAAACATACATTCCATCACTACTTCATCAGTTTTCACACTCATCATCGATTGGAGTGATTGAATTTGGAGTGTTTTTGTAGGATCTATGGAATTACAGCTACTGAACATTACTTTAAAGATTTCACACTCACAGTCGTTTCCATTTGGTATAAAGTGATAAATAGTGGACGCCTTAAGACATTAGTACGCAGATATTCGTCAAAGTATTTAATTTATATACCATTATTAATGGTGGTCATCCGGGCTAGGAGGAAAAAAATTATAAAAACCACAAAATGAAATATTTGTGATAATAAATTAAGTTATAAAATGTTCTACTTCCTATAAATATTGATAAAGCAATTGCACCTATATATGGTAACAATTACAAATATTTCTATGGTACATTTTATATACATTAGTATGGTACATTTGTATCAATTTGTTATCATTAAAAATAAAACTAATTTAAAAAAAAAGGAAAGATAAGTTAATGCAATAAAATACCATTGACTCCATTAAGTGAGGAAAATGATTTGAGAAATATGTTAGGAGGACATTATTGATCTTATGTACCAGTGAGATACATTTTTCACTTTTGAAATTCTTTGAATTCATTCTTTCAACCTCTGGATCATTTCTAAAACATAATGCTATTATTATTTCAACTGCTACTACATTAAAAATAAAATACAAGTTCACATTTCTAACTTGCCTTCTTCCTTTAAGCTCAAATAAAAGTGCATCTTGTAAATGAGGTCTTACTCTGTCGAGAAGTTCTTGGGATTCCTCTAAATTCAGTCGTTGAGCCTTGTGAAATCCCACACTATCAACTTCTTTTACATGAGTTCTTGTAATGTGTTTCACAAGAGGTAAAAAATTGTAAGGATATTCACCCTCTTTTAAAATTAATGATTTCCAACCATAATATTTATCCATATTCAGGGCAAAAAGCTTTTCCTCAACAGTGTTCAAAGCTTCTATTCTTTTATGCTTGGCTAATTTCTCTCTATTAGCATTCGCTTTTTCTGATATATCCAAGATTTCGGGATATTTAGGAACTTTGGTATATTCATTTCCTGCTTGGAATGAAACCTGTCTATAAACAGAGGGTTTCAATTTGATTTTAACAATCTTTGAGGAATACATTGAACCTGAGTTATTCTGATGAACTGTTAAAATAAATGTAAGTTATTGACTTCTAATCATATCACTAACTCGTTTTGAAGCAACTTAATAAAAATATGAACAGGGTTGTTCTGAAGTCAGGTTATTTAGTTGTCACCAAAGAGGATATAAGATGGCAATCCTTTCTTTCAGGAAGGCTGAACAGAAATTCCAACTGGTCAATTTGAATAAATAAAATTATAATTAAGTGCCTAAAATCAGATTAGACGAATAAATGAATTAAAGAAATGTATACTTGTTAATATAATATATGCTACATAAGTAATGGATTCGAAATTCAAAATAGAAAACTTTGGGTTGCTCCCATTTTAACTTTAATTTTTTTTCCTCAATAAGATTGGAAAAAATATATCTTTATTTTTTAAATATATACTGCAATTAAAACAGAAATTACAATAAATCAAATTGTCAATAGTCAAGACGCAGTTATGAAAGTATTTTATAAAATGCTGATAACTTAAAATGTAAAATATTCTATAATATTAATGCAAGTCAATGGCAAACGGAGAAAATAAAATTAGATAATTGTTTCATATAAGAAAAATTCTTCATATAAACCTCTTTTAAAATTTTAAGAAAATCTTTTCAGCCCATTACTGAGGGAAAATCGTCTGTTAACTTGTTATTATATTTTCCTTATTTTTTATTTATGTACTGAATTTCTTGTTGTTTTATAAATTTCTAACAGAGATGTTTAGAATCAGTTTAATGTATTTTATGGTGAAACTGAATAAAAAAATAGTCCTCGTACTGAGGGACGGGCATAGATACTTGATGCTCTGTGAAATTATGTCATGAACGCCTCACTCCCTTTCCAAATTGTTTAGGACGAAATGAGACACATGTGAAGAATATTGTATATTACTTTACATCGGGATTGTATTTCTCTTATTATGGTTCTAATTCAGTTGCTTTATTAATAATAATAATAAGGCTTAGCGAACCCGAAGGTTCGATGCCGACACCACCAATCGCTTGTTACACACCTCCCTCCACCGTTCGCCGTCCAAACCCAGTCCCTTCAGATCGGTTTTAATGCAATCTTCCCACCTTCGCTTCGGTCTACCCCTCGGACGCTTACCATTCGGCACAGCAAATATTAACCTTTTAGGAATTCTCTCGTTACTAAGCCCAACAACTTTACAAGCCCATTTGATTCGCCGCGATGAAATTACCTCAATTATATTACTCGGATACAGCTCACGCAATTCGGCGTTGTGTAACCGTCTGAACTCTCCGGTTAACTCATCCTTCTTCGGTCCGAATATTCTACGCAATACTTTATTTTCAAAAACCTTAAGACGCTGCTCATCCCTTAATGTAAGCGGCCAAGTTTCGCATCCATAAAGAACTGTAGGCAAGATAATTGTTTTATAGATTCTAATTTTTAAGTTTCGGGACAAGAGGCGCGAACTAAGTAGTTTTATCACAGAAAAATAACAAGCATTCCCCGCCTTCAGTCTAACCTTAATCTCTTCTTCAATTTCGTTTTTTCTAGTTATCGTAGAACCTAGATACCTAAATTTATCTACCTGTTCAAACATATTACCATCTATATCGATATCACCAGTAATATCGCCATTTTTGCAGCTAACCATATATTTTGTTTTATCCACGTTTATTTCGAGTCCTAGTTCTTTACCGGCTTTCATTAACGTTGTCGTATTTAGTTTTATAGTTTCAACGTCTTCGCTTAACAGTACCAGATCATCAGCATAGCCCAGCACGGATGTTGTCCCACCCAGATCCAAACCTTTCTCGGTTCGCATTACCTCCCTAATGGCATGTTCTAATGCCAAATTGAACAGGACAGGCGAAAGAGAATCCCCCTGTTTTAAGCCCGAACGAACCTCAAATTTTTCGGACAAATTATTACCAATTCTAACTTTTTTGAGTGTCTCCGTCAAGCACATCCTGACTAGATTTACTAGTTTTTTTGGAATCCCCTGCTCGATTAGAATATTATACAGTTTCTAGCGGTCAATAGAATCCACGGGCGGATCTACGGGGGGAGGGAGGGATTTTGGGCTGAAGCCTCCCCCAAATGGAAAAATATAACCATGTTTTACAAACCTCTTAAAGTATTATTGTTCGTGTAATTACATTTAAAAGTACTTAAGGAATAACTTAAACACCATTTCTTATAGGTAGTTAGTTTCTTTCTGTTTTTCCAAAGTAATTATCGTTATTTTTATGAAAAAAAAAAGGTTTCGGGCTGAAGCCCCCCCAAAAATAAATCCTGGATCCGCTAGTGATAGAATCGTAAGCCTTTTTAAAATCTATTTACAGCTGGTGAACAATACCGTTATACTCCAATTTTTTCTCTAATATTTGCCGTAAAGAAAATATTTGATCAATAGTCGAACGATTCCGTTCGATGCTTTATTAATAAGTTTTCTAATTTTTAACATCCCTCAACATGTGGTGGGCTCTAAGGCTTGCCCTGCCCTAGAGCCGGCAGTACTAGCCACGGGCGGATCTACGGGGGCGCTTTCGGGCTGAAGCCCCCCCAAAATGGTAAAATGTAACTATGTTTCATGTAAAAAAAAAATCTCTTAAAGTATTATTGTTCTTATTATTAGTGGTACAAGCGAATCCAGAATTTAATTTTGGGGTGAGCTTCAGTCCGAAAGCTTTTTTTTTTTTCATATGTATAACGATAATTACTTTGAAAAAAAGAAAGATACTAACTACCCATATGAAATTGAAGTCCTATTAAATGTAATTACACGAACAATAATACTTTAAGAGATCATTTTTTTCCATAAAACTTTATGGCTTTCGGGCTGAAGCCCCCCCAAAATAGAAAATATGACCATGTTCTATGGAAAAAAAATATTAAAACATTATGTCTTAAAGTATTATTGTCCGTGTAATTACATTTAAAGGGATTTTAGGAATCACTTAAACACCATTTCATATAGGAAGATAGTTTCTTTCTTTTTTCCAAAGTAATTATTGTTATTTTTATGAAAAAAAAAAAACTTTCGGGCTGAAGCTCCCTCCCCTCCAAAAAATTAAATCCTGGATCCGCTAGTGCCTTATAAAACTAAGTTTTTTGTCATAGGTAAGTCCTGAGTTACAAATTGCTATTAATTATTCAGTTTTTAGTAAAGTATTCAGTAACCATGTTTTATGGTAAAAAATATTAAAAAATTATGTTTTAAAGTATTATTGCTCGTTTAATTACATAGTACTAGTAGTACTTCAAGAATCACTTAAACACCATATCATATTGATGGCTAGTATCTTTCTGTTTTTCCAAAGTAATTATCGTTATATATATATGAAAAAAAAAAATTTCCGGGCTGAAGCCCCCCCCCCGAAGTTAAATCCTGGATCCGCTAGTGACCAGAATGAATACTGTTATAACTCACATACGTGAGCTGGAATTATCTTTACAAATAAAATTACAAACTAAGAAAAGAGACGGAGGATTTTTTAAAACATTTTCATATTAAATAGTTGATACCATTAGTGGTATGTTCACTCACACCAAATGTGATTGCTTCCGGGAAAGCACAATTTGAATTCATGTCCGTTTCGGACTATTGAACAAATTTTCTGATTTTTTGTTTGTAGATGAGCAATCCAAGCGAAATAAAACCAAACATCCTTCCAAATCTGACAATAGCCTTCTTTTCTCATGTCCGCGAGTTATACTTATTATACCTTTACACTTCCACCAACGACAGATAGATTTCTAATATAAGTGGAATGTGGAAAGAAATATCATTGTTTTTCAAATATATTATTTACATTTTGGTTCCTGATTCGTGACGCCATCTGGGAGATCTCCCCCATGGCCTCATTCTTGGGAGGCTTGGTCTAATTCTTTATTTCATAACTCTATCCACCTCCCATATTTCCCACTCATTGAAACATCACTTAGCATTCCAACTGAACTATTAAATGCACTTTGCACCACAGCCATGTGCAAAAAAACAAAAAAGTTTAAGGACTATCTTATATTATACAAAACTTCAAAGAACTTGATTTTCTGAAAAAAGTATCATTGGAATTTCTTTACTCACCTTGCATTGTGTCAGTCACCTCAAACTATTAATACATGTTCATTACTGATGTAACAAGAAAACATAAACAGGAAAAGCCCTAGCCAACATCCTTTTGTCTCTTATGTAATCCTGATAAGCTGGACCTAATCAAAGTTCCTGGAAAAATGGGTTGGAATCCAATGCCAGTAATCTATCACAAGAGGTCAGGACTAACCACAGGCGCATCTACAGGGGGAGGAGGAGGGCTTTCGGGTTGAAGCTCCCTCCCCCCCCAAAATGGTAAAATATAACCATGTTTTACAGAAAAAAATATTAAAAACTATCTCTTTAAGTATTCTTGTTCATGTAATTACATTTAATAGAACTTCAAGAACCACTTAAACACCATTTCATATAGGTAGTTAATTTCTTTCTTCTTTTTTTCTAATTAATTATCTTTACATGTATATGAAAAAAAATCTTTCGGGCTGAAGCCCCCAAAATTAAATCCTGTATCCGCTAGTGGGACTAACTGACTGTATTTTGGAGCTCGGTAATGAACTCTAACTTTCTGGAAAACAGTATATAATATTCTTGGGTGATAAATATTCAGGAAACAGTCATTATAAAGTTTTTATTGCTGCTGACGTTTCAACCCAAACACGTGGGTCATCATCAATGCTCAAACAGGTCTTGATAATGACCCACATGTTTTGTTGAAATGTCGGCACCAATAAAAACTTTATAATGACTGCGTCTTTAATATTTATCATCCATATGTAGAACAGTCGACTAGCTTCCTATAATAATATATATTCTTAATTTATAATATTTTTTTAACAAATCTTATGCTGACAAGTTCCTCTATTAAGGCTATGAAGAACACAGAGTCAAAGACAGACACATTGGTGTTTGATAGAAATTAGAAATTATTATTTATTTATGATTGTTGTTTTACATTATTTCAATATAATGACAGGACTCAAATGTTTACTTAACTTTGTATTTTACAACTGCAGGAAATTCTAGTTGAGTTAGCACAGTTATAGTAGTGAATATAATTTAAAAAGATTTTTAATAATTTTGGACATATAACTTTAATGACTTGTGAAGTTACTAATTAAATATTAAGCATTACTGTTTATTTGTTATTAATATTCAGAACAAAAGCCTCTGTACCACTATAACTGTAATTGTGTTATTTCCAGTATTGGATATTTAAAACTTATAAAAGAACCATCCATGACGTCAAACTATCACATGGCTGACAAAGGAAATAGTTGACACAAAGAACCAAGATTAAAATCCATTTCTGACTAATATATGCCAACGATCAATGAACACATAAGAACTTACTACAAACGATTTCATAATAAATTACATGGACACTCCAACCAGCTAATTAAATAAATGGCCACGACTATTATGCGGGAGAACTCCAGAAGAAGACTGAAAAGGGTCTGGATGAGAGATCTACTTACGTAATTGTATGTAAGTAAGTAAAAGCCATAGAAAGGATGCCGCTGGGTATTGCTTTCCCTCATGCCTATCAAGCCTTTTTATTTTATTTATTTTATATTTTCTCATGACTGTGCCAGCACATCTGCTGATTGTCAATAGTTATAATTGACAGGTGCGTATAAATATATGTAAGTGCAAAAAAAAAAAAAAAAAATCCATTTCAATGACTTCATTAAAATCCATTACATCAGTTTCAGAATAGTTTTACCTCCTCTGGCTTCTAAAAGGAAACAGATTAAGAATTCATTTAAAATTAAGATTCAAAACAAATTAATTTTTCATCAGCCGTGGAGACTCTCCTAGGGTCCAAATCCAGCCTCTATAAAATGGGTGCTCTTAAATATATAATTAAGAGAGAAAACTAGGAGGTTGAGCATGATCCCTGACCCAATCACCAGTACTTCTTTACATAGTATTGAACCCAAGACCCTTCATGGGTTGTAGAGGTACTTTTTTTTTTGTTTTTTCTTAACGGTTGGTAAATATTTACCTGATTTATATTGTCCCTAAGATGACCCACACAGTGGGGTAAAACTTGGTAACAAAAACTTATTTTGTTTATATATTTCATTGACTGATCCACAACTAATATAATCAATATCCTCATATGATAGCCTAGCAACTATTTTTTTCTGAAAATTATATATTCTTTCATAATTAGAATCAAAATCATTTCATCTGTCCACAATTGATGGAAAACAAAATTAAATTTTTTCTGTAGGATTTTTGCCAGAGAGCTATCTGATAAATAGTTTTCATTTTAACAGAAAAAGTAAATAGATCATGGCGAAAAACTAAACTAATAACCTTTATGTTTTGATTTCTTAATAAGTGATTGGATTTCTTAATCAACTACCGTTTAAAGTGCAGGTGAACCTCCATGTATTGAACTTTCTATTAAATGTCTATAAATACAGTTTTTATTCTAAGATTCGAAAAGTTTTACTAAGAAAATTTCTATACTTCTCACTTAACTCATAGCAGTAAAATGACATAATTTTTTAATCTGTTAGCTCCTACCACTAATTTTAGCAATCTTGAAATCGCTCGCATCAAAAAAAGTTTGAGAACTCATTTTGTATACCACTATTAAATATGCATGTTCACATTTTATACATACAAATCTTAAAACAGACAATTTTTAAAAGATTATATCAAGCCTAACAAATGAACTGTAATTGTTTTAGTATACTTAAATTTATATGATAGTCAATGAGAAAAATAAACAAATGTTTTCTAGTTTTAAGTTCAATACTTAGATGCTCAACTAAATTTTATTATAAATTTATCTCTAAAAATAAGCGTTTGGAAGAAGAATTTAAAAATGTTTGTGAAGTTAATTTCTTCCGTTTATTAAAAATAATTTATTTCCTCATTTCGTAATGTTTTTGGTTATGAACCTATCTTCAGAATATTATTTATTGTAAAATTTACTGTTATTATTTTATTACATTTACATTCTCTTCTTTTCCAATATCCATAAATTAATATCATTCTTAATTATTTAATTATATTATTACACTGAAAATGGACTCTTTACTATGCTCTTCTTGTGCTGAGTGACACCCTCCCTCCATATTCTATGTAATTTTTATTAATATATTTAATTAAGGATAAAATAAATATTGATTTGTGGAAATCAGATGAAAAGAGAGTGGATAGCTGTCATAAAGTAATAGAAACGAAATATTAGACAGTGACACTACAATAAATAATGTCCTGAAGATAAGTTAAAAATCTGATGTCACAAAATGAGGCAATAAATAACCTATTTTCAATAAATGGAATAAATTTACTTCACGAAAATTAAATAAGTATTTGGCTTTTATTGGAAGAAAACATATATAGAGTGAGAGAGAGAGAGAGAAATTTTTAAATGGAGAAAACCGTATTTCAACATTCCATGTGAAAGAGATTCTTTATATTTCCTTTTTATTCTTGTGTACAAAGAATAAATAAATATTTGTAATAACAAAAATTTACATTGGTCCATATATTTAAAAACTAATTAAAATGAAAAGCTTAAGACAAATGGAAATTGAATATCCATCATATAAGTCAGTTCGGTGAAAGAAAAATACAAAAAACAATTTCAACCTTACTAACAATAATAAAAAATAACACTGTAAAAAAACATTTGTATTCATTCACAAAATTTTGGAAAGATTTATCAATAGATAATTCTTAATTTTATTTTTCTCTCACTTATGCTAGCTTTAATTTTAAGCAGGCAAGGATACAACAGCAGTTTGACAATCTCCTGACAGTAATTAAATAACTCGTTTATATTTATTCTAACTCAACCTTCTAACATGTAAACATATACATCTTTCGTAATAATTATACATAAAAACTGTCTCAATAACAAATGTCCATGACAAAGTAAATTTTCCAAATTAATACTGTAAAGACAATATCAGACATATATGCATTGAATATTTATACAATCATATTTATCAACACATTCTTCAAGTTTTTTTGTTGCTTTTATTTTTTTTTTTTTTTACAGAATAATTACATGTCATTAAAATTCTAGACATACGAAAAAAAAAATTAAGTCTCAAATATAAATGTACTTACATTTGAGATAATACTAATTACAACTATTAAAATTAAATATTATATACATGTTCTGCCTTCCCATTTTTAAGGCATAATTTAGGGGATCCAAAAAATAAAATAATACATATAAAATACACATTATTTTAACCATAAAAGAAATAGAAATTAAAATAAAAACAATTCTCAAAATTAATCTGAGGTGTCTATTCTACAAGAAGCATTAACTGACTTCCAATTATAGCTTCCCATATTATAAATCTCAATGTTGAAAACAATGAAATTTAAGAAAGGCATTTAAAATGTCTTCTTCATCCGCGAAAGCACAAATTAGTGTCGGTGAAACATATGTCACGCACTGATTAACTGTTTTTCGATCACTCCTCAACTCAACAGATCTAAGCTTCTCGGAAAAGAAGTAATAAACTTATCTTCCAGTTGATATTAACACAGCCAGAGAGAAAAAGAGAGAATTATTAGCGACTGACACAAACTTCAGTAGATTACTTCGTAGACTGTAGCTTTTTTGTCTCCAGAGCCCGTCACGATATATTTGTCGTCTGCAGATATGTCACAACTGAGCACCGATGATGATTCTTTAGACTAAAAAATAAATATTAAAGTATATTAATTACAGACTATAAAGTTTACAAATATCAGGTCATAATATAAGAAAAACAATTTTCAATAGAATCAGAAGATCAGTTTCATAAAAACCAAGGGATCTTAAATGGAATCTAAGGAACAATGTTGGGGCTCGTGATAATATGAAATAAAATGAAAAAATAATTTTATTCTGGGACTAGAGTCCCCTAAGAATAATAACACGAGTTACAAATTTATGGATCTTAGTCTGGCTTAGAATAATAAAAAATACAAACTAATTAACTGTTGATTGTTATTTCAATTGTGCAGTTGATTGAATTAAACAGTATACAAAGACAAGTAGTTTATCATGTTTGTGGAAGTTTGTATGTGGAGTAGGTGGTGGAACATGAGTTGTTTGAAGGAATTTGTGGATGTATGAAGGTAAGAGAGTTCCAAAAGGAGGCAGCATGACTGATGAAGGATTTGCTGAAGAAAATAGTTTTATGGAAGGGGATATATAAATCTGGCAGATAGTCCTCCATACACCAAGCAGCCGTACTCAAAGTGGGGGAAATAAGGGAGGTTACAATGAGCTGTCTGGTTAATACTGTTGTCAAATTCAATTCAGTACTTTTATAAAGGAAATAAATAAAAATTATATTTTCAGACAATTCTCACCAACAATTATAAGATTTAGATTTAGATTTAGCAACTCTGAACTAATCTTGAAAAAGTACAAAATATCAGAGGTTGAAACTTATATGAATTTTTAAAAAGTTCCATTTTAATAGTTTCTGTGAAACCTTTTTAGGAAAAAGTTCTTAAAATAAAAGTTCTAAGGAACTTTTATGTAATAAAGTTCCAAATTTAATGGGATGCACAGGAGTACCACTGAATAGCTTCCTATCCCCCTCGAAATAAGGAAGAAGAAATGGAAATGGATTGGACACATTCTAAGTAAAGTAGATAATTCTATCGAAGAAGAAGAAGCTTTTCTGTGGAATTCCCAAGAAACAAGAAAAAGATGAAGAGCAACAGAGGCATGGCAGAGATCTGAACAAAGTGACTTGAGCTGGGTTGGCAAGACTTGGCCAGAAGTAAAAATGATTGGTTGATGCGATGCTACAAAAAGTCACACTTGCCATATGCTGCACAAAGATTCAATGGTGATAATAATAAATAAATAAGAGAAGAAAAAAAATATAAAAAGACTTATGTTTATATTACTGTTACCTCAAAGGTATGTTCCATTTTTTTTCTTCTCTCTTAATTACTTTTATATATATATATATATATATATATATATATATATATATGCTCTTATTGCTCTTATATATATATATATATATATATATATATATATATATTATCATTTTTCTGATGTTAATTAATATTTTTCAATTTTTAACCCTGACTATGACCCACAAGCTTGGTTCAAAATGTCAGAAAACTTTCCTGACTGTTTTTCATCCTTAGATTTTTAACGGTTAACTATATATCCATATTTAAATAATTTATTAATTAAATCATAATTTTAATATTTTACCTGAAATATGGAGGCACCATAAGGAGTACGCCAGGCATTGAGGAGATTGTCTTTCCCCGTTGACACAAACCATTTACCACAAGCAGCAAACCTCAATGAAAGGACACATGATTCATGAAGATGAAGTTGATATTTATCAGGCTTAACTGCATGAAGAACTTCAACATTTGAATTTTCCATACCAACCGCCAGCCAATCACCTAAATAAACATAAATAAAATTTTAAAATATAATTTTTAAAACACATATATTAGTATTAAATATTGGTATGTGTGAAGATTAATAGCAATTTTCGAAAAATATGAAAAATAAAGATTATTGACATAATTTCTTTTAAGAATTGCCTAATTTTTATATTTTCTTTCTTTGAATAGCTAAGTAAAATCATATTTTTTAGGTCTACTTTTTAGCAGAATGAATTGCTTTCACAGAACTTTTAAATAAAGTTCTATTGAAAATTTCATTGAAAGATTTTAAGGGGCAAAGGTTCTGGTCTCAAATGAACAGAAAGACAAATGAAAATAAAAATTCCAGTTATATCCAAACTGATAAAAATAGCTAATTTTCCACTCTAAATACCGATAATATCTGTTAAGTAATCCTACGACATTCAGGTTTGATATGAGCGAGTTTTGATTATACATTAATAGGGAAGAATTCTACCACTAACTGGTAATAAAAAAGATCATGTGTCGAAAAAATTCCAAATACTGTTTGCATATATCAACTTAACATACATACTTAATGTTACAATTTCAATCATAAAATCCATTGAAAAAAGTTAAATTTTTTAATTTGTTTGTTGTTGACAAATTCTATTAGTCATAACAAAACTAATATAAAAAATACATTCAAGAATATGAGAGAAATTTACCTAAAGTTTATTATAACCTCATTCTAACAGGCACTCTCCAAAACATATTTAATATAATTTAAAAAAAAATTATAAATTTAAATCAAATCTGCGTTAATGTCTTTGTTGACCATCATAAAACATAACTCTCCTATTTATACAGAAAGGATTCAGTATTCACAAATTAGAGTTTTTGTGGTGATTTTCTTATTACATTAACCTTCATGTTAAGGAATTACTGTACTGATAATGATAAAACCATAAATGTATTCACCTAACTATTTAGAGTAACAATTGTGTATATTTATCAAACACAAATAAACCAAAAGATTAATTTAAATTTAATTTACAATACAATATTTTTTTTTAATATATGACAAAAAAAAAATAACAACCCTCTCCTAATTACCTGTTGGACAATAGCCAAGAGAAAATATCTGTGACGTGAAATCATGTTGGTGAAGTTGACGACCTTCCCTGAGATCCCAAGACCTAACAGTGTTATCGAGACCACCAGTCCACAGCTTCGTACCGTCTGCAGAAATATCTATACACGAGGCACCATCAGTGTGCCCTTGAAACTGCCTCACTAAGCTCTGATTATGGAGATCCCAGACTGCTATATTCCCATCGGAACAGCAGCTGAAGCACACCTAAAATATTTGTAAAATCAATTCTTGAATTAGATTGATTTTTATGTTTTTAAAATGAACAAAACAGAGAAAATGTTTTTAATTTATAAATTTACTTTTAAAAAATTACAAATCACAATTTGTAATTTTTGCGTACCTTACTGTCAGGACTGATCGCAAGAGCGTAACAAGCAGGCGCACTCGATGTCAGTTCTGCCTTTATCCTCGGCGTTGGTGAGGCGAGGTCCCAAATGCTAAGATTACTCGCTTCTCCGCCAACTATTAAAGTTCTAGCATCGGGTAGCAGTTTAACACTTCGTATGTAGTTGTCTCTTTGCTGAAACATAAATGATATATTAATTTATAAGTTCTTAAGATAGTTTCAATATGAATAACGAGAAAATACAAAAAATTCCAGGTTTGTGAACACCAATTGAAATGGTTGTAAATTTCAATTAAATTGTTCATAAAACTATCATTTGAAACCATTATTCATGCCTGCAGGCAATATAGGATACATAATTTAAACAAATCTAAAAGATGTGTATCATATTTTATAATTATCAAATTTAGAAATAACATTAAATTAATAAATTAATAATCTGGATCTCTTTATCTAAATAGTTTAAGGTTTAGGACAACAATATAGTAGAAATGTTAACTGATATATGATATTATCTATTTGGAATATATTTGGTCCTGCTTGGAAAGAATTTATCTATAATATCATTCTCTACCGTTCTCCTGCACTTCTGGTCTACTGAAAATGATTAAAAAAAAAAAAAAAAAAAAAAAAAAGGCACGGATATAAAAATGTTAAACATTCTCATACAATAGCAAGGATGAATTGGAATGTCTACAGATTACAAATCTATTAAAAAATAAATTCTAATTATCACAGGACAGGTTTATGGTCTCTGTTATTGTTTAAATTAGGACCTCATATAAAAGAAGTCCCCAACGGAAAAGAAGAGGAGTGACATGGCATGTTTCATGAATGAATTAGCTATATAAACTTCTTAAGATTGAAAACCAGTCGCTAAGAGAGTAAAAAAAATTAAGTAGAACATCTTTTTATTCTTCAAATCATGGTTCTTGTAAAATCAAAAGCCATAATCTAAACAATTTTAATATACCATTCAAAATACTTATGAATTTGATTTTTGAAATAGTTTTAGCTCTCAGTAATACTTTTGATCTCATCTATGCTAGTGATCTCAACTATAGTTCTTTTATTATGGAGAAAAAAATAAGCTATCTGGCAAATGAGGTGGTGGGGTGGTAAAGGCATCATTATCGTAATGTTTTAGGCCAAAAAAAACAAAAAAACATGAGCATTAACTTGCTGCAGAAATCATGAATTGTTTACCAAAATCAGATTTTTTTTTTAAATTGCTTCATAGCAGAATATCAAGTATAGAATAGATAGAATAGATAGGATAGGATAGCTAGAATATCAGAATAGAACTCATAGTACATTATGATTTTAAAATCGAAGAACACAGCGAGCATAACTTTCACATATAATTCTGAGCAATAACCATTCCGAAAAAATGTTATAGCATGAGTCAATTGATATATCTTCAGATATTTTCAACATTATATTAACATAATAATTTTGTTCAATTTTTCACATTTGCATCAGTCGTTGATGTGCTTCAGTGTGCTTGTCATCTTAAACATCTTCATGCCCTCCTTGGAAATGCCTATATCACTCATAAACCCTTGTTCACAAAAAGCAATATTTTAAGATTTCTAAAATTTGACTTTATTCTATTGTTAGCAAAATTTAATGCAAATTCTCTAAATCCATTTTCAAATATATCACCCAGAACAAAGGTATTTTTTTTTATGTCTATTTGATATGATTAATGATGTACAGATACTTTAATGACATGTTTACCAACACATTGATGAAAAAAACACATAAATCAGAGTAATGTATTCTGTAAAATTACAAAATTCCTATTATTTCTTGAGCATACCTTATGTACTCTCAGGCCTCTAGAATCCGTAAAGCATTCAAGAAGACTACATATGCCTTAACATAGAGGATCATCATCCCCACAGCCTGCCTGACTGGGAGAGAAACTTAGGGAGCTGTGAGGAAGTAGTTATCGAACCTAACTATACTTAACACAAACTCTATAAACATTCATTAAAAAATAATTCCAGAAGAAAGTTTTTTTTTTTTTTTATCAGTTTTGAAATAATCAATTCGAGTTTGCAAACTCGAAATATGTAGATAGTTATGTATTAACAAGTTATAGTGTATATACACCAACCAATTCAGTTTTTTTATTGTTAAATAAATATCTTTGTTCTACTGATAATAATATTTATATGAAATAATTATTTAAGTAAATCTATGGAAAAGATAATTGGACTTACGAGGCAATCTAATTGTGAAACAGGGGCCTTAGAGCCGGGCTGGCTTATATCCCATACTTTGACACATCCTTTACCTCCCGTATAGACGTATTTAGTAGGGTTGGATATAGTAACTGCACAGACCACTTCTCCATGGACTAAACTGTTTATTTGCCTAGCGTGTCGAGGGATTCCCGGTCCGATCAAGGCGTCTGTTGGGAATGGGACTGGCTCTAGCTGCCCATCTCCATTCATATGGAATGAATAAGCCCTGAAACAGCAATAAACAGTTATTAGAGAAAATTAATAAAATATAAACAGATGCCATTTAACAGATCTCCAAAACGGTTAAATTTAAGGTGAAATTTTAACTGATTTCTTTTTTTAAATCCTATAATTTTTTCCCTTACCTTAAGTAATGGAAAAGTATTACAGTTCGACATTAAAATTTTAAATAAATAATTAATTATCTGGATTTAGAATCGGACAAAAATGAACTTTGTTTTGGTTGAAACATGGCTTGCAGTAAACTTAGGTTACCATTTAAGGTAGAACTGGTTTGCAAAAGAAAAATTAGATTAAGTAGCTTAAATTTCAAAAGCGAATCTCAGAAACCTGATGCTAGATTAAAAATAAAGAAGTAATTCTTAAAGATGAAGAAAATAATTTACTTTTTTTAATATAAAGAATGAAAACTTAAGACTTTGTTTATAACCTAGTATAACATAATTAAAATAAATTCAAATATAAAGCTGTATTAATGAGCCTATAAAGCTATATTCCTGACTGCCACACTGGTCAGTCTATTAACTGCCTCCTGCAGTGACCCACCCAGTGGTGGTCGAAACGTCGGCGCAATTAAAAATACTATTTCTTAAAAATTTATTATTTATTTGACCGCACCCCCCAATCAATTCCTTCTCATATTATATCACAGTCAACCATCTCTACATCAATATTTAAGATTTAGTTTAAAATGACGAATTGTGACAAATATATTGACAGTGGCATGGCAAAATTGCATTTAAATATAATTATGATAGAATGTGTGGTTATGGGCGTTTTTTGGTCAATTGGCTTTTTGGGAGGCCCATTGCATATTCAGAAATACAAACTGAAAACTTAGTTCATTATAAGAAATATACATTTTATATTGTTATGAATAATTTTAGTTGTCACACTAACAGGCTTGCTGTCAATATAATTCTAAATTTTTGAAAACTTATAAGAATTAGAAAATTTAGTTCAGATTTCAAAATGAACAAAACGGCTTCATAAAAAATAAAAGATGTAATTTAATACTTTAAATGACTTACTGAAAACAAATAGCAAAACAAAAAAAGAAATCTAAACTTTTATTTAGTTGAAAAATAAATTTATTGTACTTACGGCTTTCCTCCTGGTATGGCAAGACCATTCGTGCCAACACTGGGTACTCTAGTATGCGGATGGGCTTCGTAACCCATCTGAAACAAATATTTATAATTTCAAATAAAGATTTGAAAACTCTATGAAAGAAGAAAATATTGTAATATCAATAGCTTATTAGTTGTTTAATATTTTTAGTAAAATTATCAAATATGTTTTTTAAAGTATATGTAATTAACTAAAGCAATTTAACAACGTTCCAAATATTGCAAAATAAATTGTTGAAAAATATCAAATAATTTTTTGAACAACAAATAGATTATAGACATCACAAATATTTAATTTACTTAAGAAATAAAGAACGAAATCACTTTTACATAAAATTACTCTGACTGTCATTAAAAAAAATCTTGATTCAAGCCATGGACGGTTTGAATTAAAACATTTAATAATAAATTGATATAATATCATAAGTTAACTCTTAATTAAACGACAGGTATTTATAAAAAAATTATCCATAAATGTTTAAAAACTTTAGAAGAACAAAGAGTCCTTAAAAATATGGAAGGACAAAAAAAAATATTATTAACATAGATATTTAATATTTTATTTTTATATTTAAAAAATAAAATAAAAATTTAATACAAATTTATTTGAACTTATCGAAACATAAATCCTGTTAAGTGAGAGAGATAAAGAAAAAATACTTCACTAGTTATGTAAGTAGAATCAAGAAAGAAGAGAATGAAGATCTAATGTAGCATACAATAGCTATTTAATGTATTTTTTTTTAAATGATATTTTTCATGATTCCTATGAAAACTAATAATAAAAACTGAAAAAATATGATAAATAAACAAATAAGAAATTGTTGAATGATGACCATCAAGTTTTAATATCCAAAATAAACAAAATGTACAATCTTTGTAACTATAGTCCAAAACTAAAAATAATTTACCAGCTTAAAATAGGTTTCTAAACAAACATAATTTTGGCATGAATGAAATGTTGGCAACAATCAACATTACAAAAAAAAAAAAAAAACAATAAGTTCATTCCAAAAAAACAACAACTAAAATCGAGATAAAAACAAAAAGCAATAAATCCCTAAATCAAAATAAAAAAGGAAGAATAAAAAGTTTTTCTCATGACCGACTACTATGCAGAATGTTACTAACTAAACCTAATTTTTTTTTCTAAGGTTATTTTAAAGTTTATATCTCATGCATCATGCACTGCCAACAAAAACAGTTACAGATAAATGTCCCTTTGCCCAGAATTTTATAGTCCACTAATCTACAAATCTACATAGATTCTGGATGGTATTAAACTGTTATTTTTCTCATATTCTTGGTTAACCGTAATGAAGTATTGTAACAGAAAACAAATCTCTTATCTATTAGTGTATAGTTCTTCCTCAATGTTCTGTAAAAAGAGAAATTCAATTTTTTTTTTCCAGATTAGAACATTTTCTCATGTAAAAATAGCCAAAAATAAAATTACTTTCTAACATCATTGAATATGCTCTCAAGAAAAATAGTAAACTGATGAATTTCATATTTCTACAAAATAATGACCATATTCAAATCTACAGAATAGGAAATTAACAAGGCATTGCAATTAAAAGAAAATACATTTAACAGTTGGGCCTATTACAAAGTAACCTCTTAGTTTAAGTAACTATTTTCCCATACAGAGTTGAGTTAATCTTGAACTTCCTTAAGAAAAAAATTACCTCATGCTCAAACAATTTTAAAAGATATGAATGCCAGTCTCCATTTGATGATGAAGTTTAATATATACTTTAAAAAAATAAAATTTAATGCAATATAGTAATAAGAGCTATCATGACATCAAGTATTAGATTTGCGGAAGCTTATGCATATTTTCAAGGTAAAAAAATCAAATGGCTATCAACATAATACTTAGAAAATTGGTATATTTCTCTGGTCTCTGCACCACCAAACTCTTTCAATAATTATTCTCACGATGATGTTTGTCTTTTGAAAACAATGTTTTAAGAGCATCATAATATTAAAATTCTATAACATAAATTTACAGTTAAAATTAATAATTTTAATTTTTTTTATCAATAATTTTAAAAAATAATTACAAAAAATATGATTGTCATCTGAATGTTACACAATTTGGTCGAGATTCGTGGGATTAAATTAAGTTTCTCAGAAATTCACTGATTTTATGGTTAATGTTTCGAAAATTCAGTGCAGGAAGCAGATAGGGAAATAATTAATAATTATTTTAATTTGGAGTAGCAAATATAAATATATTTATTTCATTAATGTATGAAATCTATCCATGATTTAGTTTGTTTTTAAAGAAAATTTTTCATATCGATGGTGTAAAGTTAGTAAGTAAAAATATAAAAATAAATAAAATACAGAGAAAACCATAATCAATACTCATTTATTAGCATGCATCCTCTATCACATATATAAATGAAAAGAATTTAAACTGAAAGAAAATTCTAATGTATTTGAAATAGTTCATAGAAAGTTACATGCAAAAATATCAAAGAACTCTAATGGCATGAAATGAATTCTAATGATCTGAAAGCGAGCACAATCCACATCTACACATTTAGAAAAGAAAAAAAACAACTACTTCTTTTATCACGGAAAAATAAAGATATTTCATTAAATAAGACTGACCAGAGTTGACCTGGCGTAAGGCGAGAAAGGGTCAGCTCGTGGCATGGGATAGCCGTGGGGCGGAAGTAACGGAGGCTTCCCACCACTAACACCGGGGAGGGTAGGAGTGCTCGATTTCGATACTGGTGTCCCGGGCTTCTCCATCTGCAACATTTAACTTCAAAATAAAAGAGCCAAAAGGAGACAATAAAATTTTATAAGCGAGAATACAAAAGCATTTCATATTTCAGAGCTATAAAGGTGAATAGAATTGCACAGAAACTATTATCTATTCAACCACGGAGGACAACTAGAAACCAGCAATGAGGGTGTCGTGAAAAGAGATACCAAAATAAATAAAGAGAAATTTTTTTTTTCAATAAATAGAGAGAAAACAAATTATCGATAGAAAAGTATAAGTTTATTCAATGCGTAACATTCATTTTCCAATGATACCTGCTTGTTTTAACAACTAAAGAAATAGTCTTAAAAAATGGTTTTGTTACCAATAACAAATTATTAATTACATGCAGATATTTTATGATTTATGTACATTGTTAATCCAAAAGACCATAGAGTTATCCGTTATTAGTTAATTAAAAACTAAAAAAAATAATTAAAGAGGGCCACTATTTTCTCTTTCTATGGATAATCTTAAGTAATTATAAACAATGTTTGTTATGTAAAAAATATAAAAGGGAGGTTTTCCTGTTTTGAAGAAACATATATACATAAAATACAATATATACATATAGGTGAGGGGGGGGGGAGGGATACAAGGCTGGTTTATAAAATTTTGAACTGGAAATTTCAACCTTCTAAATAAACCTAGCTTAGGCTAATCTGTTGATCCAAACAACTGACTTCCTCATCATATGAGAAAACTTTTTGGGGTGGGATTGTGTTGCAAGATGGTCGACATGACCAAGTAGAAGATTAGTAATGTAAAGACCTAATAACCTGCATAACAAAATAGTCAAAACAAAACAAAAACCTATAAGTTTAAAGACACCCGATTGTAAGAAAAATATTGAATGAAAAATTTTAATAAAAAGAAAATTATATGGAGTGTTAGGATATTAATAGATCATAATAATAATAACATTGTTAAATTAACTAAAATAAATTAATGAAGAAGAATACTCCAAAAATGAATAAGTCAAATATAGGTAGAAAAAAGGAACGAAAACAAATAAATTCATAGTTATTTCTTTCAACTAATCTATAGATTAGTCAGGTAATAAATAAGATTTTATTGTTATAAAAAATTATAAATATATCAATCAACAAAATGTTTAAAAGGGAAAGCGACACAGTGGAAACATTCATTCTAAAATATATCCTTGATGAGACTTTATAAAAAGAAACAAAAACGTAACAAATTTAATAAAAAATTATAAATATTACAACTTCAAGTTTTATTACTATGATGCAGGACCGAAAACAGACAAATTTCAGTTATTGGTGAGTGAGGTATAATACAGGACCATAGATAGAAAGTAAATTTATGGATATACATTCACTATATAATAAAAATAATACGCCTCATTCAACCAGAATCTCCTTATCAGATAAAGATTTGAAAATCTGAAATAATTTAATTTTTGTAAAACAATTAAATTAAATAATGTTTCAACCCACATCTTTGCTTTTTAACGATGGCGTACTCCTGTTAGACGAGCATGATCCTGATCGACTACTAGGCCTTTCCAACTTTATCGCTGTTCCTTTTTCAGAACCATTTTCTCGAATCTCTCCTCCAAGATGTTCTCCATTCTGTTGAGGCGAATTTCCTTCCTGCGGACAAACCACAGATATGTATACCTATATGTTTATCAGCATTTCACAACTCTTCAAATTTTGCAACTTTTGTATAATGAATGTAGTGTTGTTTAATGTAAAGAAAATATGTATCGGCTTTTATTATGATTCACTCACACAAGGATGTATTTATTACTCTTTATTAATAGAAATAAACAATACAAATGGAAATACAATTGGCAACACAAATGATGAACATTATTTAACTAGAAACAAATTTTTTTTTCTGACTTGTGGGATTGGTGTGAAAAATAATATTATCACAGAAGTATTTTACATTCTTAGATAAATTCTAATGAATCACTAATCCTTTTTTGACAAAATTGACATGGAAAGAAAAAAATATTCCTTATAACCAAATAGACAATACTGTTTTTCTTTTTTTAATAAAAGCATACAGTGATATAGGGAAAGAGAATTATTGAGGTATTGACAAAAGTTAATAACTATTTAACAAAATTACAAATTTTAAGTAAGAAAATTTCTAATAAAAAAATAGATTTATTTCAAAAATCTATATTAGAAGCAAGGGTTGAAACTTATATGGAACTATTTAAAAAGTTTAAGAAAACTTATTTTTTTATGGAAGTTATTTTTTAAAAAAAGTTAGAAAAATGAGAAATTAACAGTAACTGGGCTACTATAACAGATATGATAAATCTTAAATGAATTATCTGAGATTCTTATATTTTCTTTTGTTTAAACAGAAAAGAATACACTGCTGAATTACAATCTTTTAAAATGGTGAAGTGTATTTCTTCATAATTTTAAATTAAAGTACAAGGAAAAACCTTGAAAATTTCAATAGAAAAAAGTTCTAGTTCCGAAATAATAGAACAAAAAAAAAATGCTGCAAATTATTTCATGATGGTTTATTATTTTCAAACAACTATACATCTTAAGTAACATTACCTTCCTAGTTACAAAGAAAAATAAATAAAAGGTGATTCCAATTATTGGAATAACTTTTTTTTTTAATCATTAGTAATATGCTAAAAAAAAAAATAGCATTACTTCAGTAACACATTCAAAATTTAAAAACCAAACAAAGGATGTAACATATGGAGTAGAACATATAAAAAAAAAACTCGAGACCATATCTTTGCTCCTAATTATCCGATTTTAACGATTTTTTTTTTTTTTTTTTAGGAAATTCCTTAAACTTTTAAAAAACATATACAATATCCACAAAAAAGTGTATACTTTTTGAGTTATTCGGAATTAAATTTTACCATCCCTCGTAACTTTTTTTCCAGCTTCTTTTCGTTGAACTATGTTATATAGATAAATTTAAAGGGCGTCAAGAAAATGACTTTAGCGAAGTTTCATTGAAATCGGTACATTCGTTAAGGAGCTAGTCTATAGCACGCAGGATTTTCAGCCGCCATTTTGAAAGTAAAAGGCGGATAGTAGTGTCGATGAAGGAGGATCATCCTCGGGTGACTTCTGATTTTATATCCAAATTTGAAAAAAAAAATCGGTCCAATAGTTTCGAAGAAAACGCGCGGACGGCGGACGGACAAAAAAATGTTTTATTCGTTTTTCGAATTCTACGCATTCTGAAACGTGAAACCTCAAATTTTGAGAGGTGGTTAAATTTTTTGGTCGACCACAATAGTTGATTATTGAAAATAATAAACCAAAATGAAAATAGTGATTCCAGTCATTAAATTAGTGATAAATTTACATGGTTTAATTTTGTGTTACTTAACTGTGAAATTTTGTAGGGGAAAAGTTCCTAAGCTCGGCGTTGACATTAAATTACACTTTATTTTAATGATAATGCTAAAGAATAATACTTTTAATTCATTTCAGTAACAAGTTAAAAACAAAAGCAGATATTTAACCAACAAAACAGATATAACTTGTGTCGCCATCTGAGGAGGAGGCCGTGAGTCAACCGTATCTGATCGCCTCGAGCGGGCACTCCCCAGCGAAGGGAATCATATCCCACAATTTACACAGATAAACATATTATCAGATTCACCATAATTTCTCCTATTTAACATGAATTATGTAAGGAAACATAACAGTGTTAGTCACGAAGTAGGATATTTTCTAAGCCACGTCCCCTGTGATTGATGTAAACTACCTCTTGTTTGGAACAATAAAATTTTGAATAATAATCATATTTCACCATAACGGAGGCTCGATGCTGATAATAATAATTCCTCCTAACAATGCCATCGAAAAACCTGAAATAAACCTCCCTTCTTCGTCACTGTCCAGCATTTCGTTCATCGCTGATGAGTTTTTAACTGATTCGTTCTTAATCTGTCCCATTAACTTTAATGATACGTTTAGACATTTCACAAACTAATATATTAATGGTTATTTCACTATGCTAGTATTTCTGTTTCTTGTTTTTGACATTTTCAATCTGCTGTCGGTGCCAAAAGAAATAAAATAAATAGTTTGGTTTAGCGCTAATGGCGCTGTTACCTAAGTTAGATAATTGTCTGTTCCCATAGTTTGTGAAAGTCTGAACGCACTTTAACACAAACATTTAGATATTTCACAAACTATGGTTCATCTAACTTAACTGACAGCGACTTTATTGCTAAACCAAATTATTTATTATTGAAAGAAGTTAGTCGACCGCTCTGTATATTATGGGTGATAAATAATCAGGAAGCAGTCTTTTTTTAAAAAAAAAATTAAATTTTTTATTTACGCCAACGTTTCAACCCAAACATGTGGGTCATCATCGGGGCTGAAAATTTTTATTTATTTTAAAATACAATCAGAGATATAATATACGATCAATAATTTTATTTTTAAAAAAGTTCAGCCCTGAAGATGGCTCTCATGTTTGGGTTGAAACATTGGTATAAATAAAAAATTAAATTAAAAAAAAAAGACTGCGTCCTGATTATTTATCACCCACAAATTATTTATTTCTCTTGATATCAAGAGAAGATGGAAAATACCAAAAACAAGAAACAAAAATACTAGCATAGTGAAATAACTATTTATCTGTTTGTCCCATAGTTTGTGAAATGTCTAAACGCACCTTAAGACTTAAGCTCTCAATTTTCAATATTCTAGGGGAAAACCACAAAAGAAAGAAAGAGGAAAGAAAGAAACATGCGTCATCTCTTTATTTTTCATTGGATCAAAGTATATTAAGAAAAAAACAACAGCCTATCATGTCGAACACGCAACTTAACTGTTCCAAAGTAAATGGCGCAGGCCTTGGTCCAAATTAAAGACTATTAAATTGTGTTATTTAATAGATTAATACATTTTATTGTAATTCTTTTTAGATAATTGATAATGTATCCATTTAATAAAATTGTGTTATAATTTGTTTATTATTCTTTTGAGTAAGATGCTTTGGACACCTCAAAACGTAGACTGCCAAGGCCTACAAAATTACACTTACGTTACTGATTCGTACAGAACAGTAAAATTGATAATAGTTTTTCAATATTATTTCCTTTTTACACCTAAGGGTACTTGGCGTATTGTGTATCAATAATAATATTCTGATATCAAATCTTACTTTTCTCAAATATTCAAATAATTTTTTGATTTCTTCTTCGTCGTTACTGGAGATTTTTTTAATGATATTCGTGTACATTTTTAAAGGTTTAGCTTTGAGTTAGGTAGGAACTACATTCTCTATTGTCCAACAAAATAAATTATTTAATTAAAATCCTTTAGAGTAAGACTTTATTTTTTTTTAACAAAACTCGTTAAATAAAATATCCTATAAATGGCAAAACTCAATAAAATGAAGTAAAATTCCTATGGTTGCTATGGGGTCCGAAATAAAAACCTTGATTGGTCGTATAAAAAATAATATATCTATATATGATTTTTCTTTTTTAAACATTAACAAAGGATATTCAAATGCTGTTCATGGAATTTGCTTAAGAGGATACTCACCTTTTCTAGAAAAATGATTGGGTTCCTCTCTACCTGTTATTTCTTAGAAAGGTAAGCTTTCTCCCAGTCTTCAACTAATATAACAACAGTATAACGTTTTGCCTACTTATATAGTTTTTTTTAGCGATTTTTTACTTTAAAGTAACTTATTTATTATTTACGAATTTCCACATTAATGATATTTAATAAAATACATCTCCTCGAATACAAACTTTGTTAATTATTAATAGAGAATGGATATTCATGGCAACATTGTCAAACATTGGAAAATTTGATCAGATTATCTTTGTGTTTACAATGGAACTTGAAAACAAAATGTAAAATTTATTAAAGTTATAAATAAAACGAAATAGAATTGCATATTAAAAATAAACAAATAAATAGCTCACAAAATATATGAAGCATGTTTTTGGAATATTCCGAAATATAGTAGCTGTAAGCCCTTTAAATTACAGTAGATAAATAATCAGTAAACATTTCGTCGATTGAAACATAAAAATACGAACATGGGCAACACATCTCACATCGATGGTCTAAAAAAGTCGTAACTTCAAGACCGGCTTCCTCCCAAAGGGCGATGGCGCATGGCCCTTCACCCAAACAAATTTTATCGTTCTTCACTCATTAATACCAAAGCCAAAGAAAATAAAATTAGAAAAATTGTGGACCATATACTGAACTTGCTGTGGTTTGTACCCTGTTTTCCTCCTTGTTCAGTGGTTTGGAAATTCCTCTTTATTGAAACACCACAAAAATAAGATTACCTACACGAATTGACAAGCCCGTCGGAATATGGCCCCTCCACAAATTTAAAACTCGGAAAAATGTGTCTCCCTCAAAAATTCTGGTGGCCTGTGCCATCCCTTTCAGTGTACCACGTCTTGTAAATGCATATAAAAAGACCTCAATAATCTAGACCTGGATAGAACATAAAAATTCGGAGAAGAAAGACACAAGCAAGCAGCGCTCAAAGTTGCACCAGGGTCATCTATGATGTATTGGTATCTATGTATGGTATTCATCTATGATGAATACCAGAAAAGCTGAAAGATGTCACGTTAGAGAACAAGATTTAAATTGATATACAGAATCAATAAAGATACCATATAATGAATTAAAAGACCAAAATTTGACACAGAAAAAGTTAAAGCACCTTAAAATCAACAAGGAATGGAGACAATCAAAAATAATAAACAACATTAATGATTCAATTTTCTCAGTAAATTGACAAATAATGGATGCTTGAAATTTCCCAGTGGTAAACGGAAACTTATCGAATATCGATTAAAACAAATAATTAAAATACAAAAAAAAGTATTCAAAATGAAATTAAATTGTTCAATGAGAAAAACCGAGCTATACATTTTATCCTGTTTTGTGAGTTTCAGTATAAACGTGTATAAAGACCATGAGAAATTTTCATAAACACAAATATGTACAAGTGTTACAATATATTTAAGCATTACATTAAATAAGCATTTGTGTAATATACATAAACATAGAAATAAATACATCAATAAAATATAGATATAAATATTCTTACTTTTCCTACCTCATTGGCTACATCGACTACAAGTTCTTGGTCGCTCTTCTCTCCGTCACTCTCCTAAAGCCACATAAAATAAATATGTATTGTTAGTTACGATCCGACATATATACATTTATCTTATTGTTAATAGCAAACAGAATTGTTAATTACATAGGGGAAATATTAACATAAGACACATATTGACATAGGACAGTAATGTTGTTTTTCAACAACTATAAACATAGGATATAAAACTAACTAAGCACAATAGCGGATTAAAGGGTGAAGAGCTTTTGACTGAAGCCCTCTCTACTAAAAAAAAATCTGGTACGGTGCGCACATCACACAACTTTCATTTATCACCCACTTTTTAGCAGAAATAAGTATTTTCAGACAAAGGGGAAGTGAAAGTAAAAATTATACACACTATGTTGATTAATATTTCATTGTGGGTATTTTTATTTGTACAAGTACCCTTATATATACAATGTTTAATATTTATATACCTGTAATCTATACAATTAAATATTAAATAATACGAACAATAGCATCTATTTTCATATGTATATTTACACAATATTGTTGGAGTCCTTATTATATTAAGCTCATGTTACGTATGGAAGCGTGTTCTAATCTTTCGGGTGCGTTCGTATTCCTTTGGTTGCTCTATTACAACTATTCTCCGTTACGGTCTCTCATTTCTCCTTTAGTTAATTATAAAATTCTTTCATATTTTGTATTTAACTATCTTTTATATTAGAGATGAATGTGAAATGGTCAATTATATGAAATAAAAAAAAAAATGTACTTTAGGTGAAGCAAATATTGAAAATTAGCCATTTAAGTTAGAGAACAGCAATCAAAATAAAACCTACATTTTATTTAAAACTGCTTAATTTTACACTGAAATAATGAATTTAATAAAAATCGTAAAAATGTCCATGATATAAAGTGGCACTTCCGGTTAGCCGATTTTTACGAATAAGTAGTTGTAGCATACAACGTATATACAAACCTTAAATATGAAATTTCACTTTTGCACGTCTTTTCGTTTTTGAGCTAGACTGTTTATACACACACACACACACACACACACACACACACACACACACACACACACACACACACAAGACCATGTTGCGGAAATTGGTTATTTGGACTCAGGAGACCTCTAAACATGTATTTCCGTTGAAAGCTCTGAGTCGAAAATTTTCACGATCGCAATATTGCCCCTTACTAAATATTTTATATATAGGCGAGTGAAGGTAAAAAAATAATTATAATTCTTTTTTTCCATTTGTCCACGTCTGTTTTTATCTATGATCTGAGACAAATACTTGAACTCATAATATGTCTTCTTCTAATATTATAAGGAAGGTACCTCAGCAACTCTAATAAACATAAAAGCGTGAAAAAAAATATAAGCATCTTTCCCTAAAAACACTATGGTTTCTGTAATATTCGTTATTGAAAAAAAAACCTTATATTGCACCCTCCAAAAAAAAAGTAATAAATTCTGAATCTGCTACGGCATATAAATCATTAAAAAAATTATAAAAAATGTTGATTAAGCCTTGTTAGAGTTATTACACGGAAGAACAATAAGTATACATATAACAAGAAGTAGGAATAAATAAAATAAAAGGGAAGACGGAGACGGACTAACATTAGAAACCACGCCAGGGCCCCAGGACTTTATTGAATTGCTGAATATGTATTGGAGGAATAGGACTGATGATAGGAGATGGGTCCCTCTTTGCTTTGTTAGTTGGGACTCGCTATTACCTCCATAATGGCCTCCCTTTGATCTGACATTAATTTATCCAACGACAGCCGCAGAGCTGGCTTTGTGGCGTCTATTAGAAATGAAAAAAAAATCAAGATTTCTTTAATGCAAAACCCACAAAAGAAGGTAGGAATAAAGTATTGATATGAAACATTTTTTTCGAGCTATTCCTAATTTATATGGCCATATTAAACATAAATGATCATAATGACGCCGCTATACCTTCTTGCCAAAAGGTTGATAGTGGGTCATGAATTATTCAAATTATTCATCCTGGTTTTACTAAAATTTATTTCCAAGTGTGAAACAAAATTACCAGGAATTGCAGTCACATTTTTTTATATTATAGGATTAGACGACGTTTTGACCCAAACATGTGGGTCATCGTCAGGGCTATCGTTTGAAAGCCGAGACATGAATTGAACAGAGTTCTTGTCTCGACTTCTTAACAATAGCCCTGATGAAGACAAATACGTTTGGATCGAAACATCGGTTAACCCAATAATAAAAATCTGATGCGTCCACTCACGAATTTTTTATCTATTTCAGCAAAGTTTTTATATATTCAAATGTGCCCATTAAGAAACAAAAACGAAATTGAATTAGATTTGTTTTCCTGAAAATTTATCAAACAAAAAGATTTGAGTAAGATTTCTTAGATAAACAAAAGTTGTAGTGCTTGTGGAGGAGATCAGCGTAAAAAAATCAATACACTTTAATATTGTCAATCAAAAACTTTTTGCCATAGCCCAATATTGTCAGACAATTTCTGTTAAAAAGAGGAAATAATAAGATTTGTATGATGCGGGTACCCCAGATTTTTTTTCTCTCTCTTCTACCCCTTTCTGGGACAGAGATTTGAACTCAAAATAATTGAATGGCTGTAACTTCGTTAATAGTAGTCCGAAGTGAACTATTTTTATATAATTTTGCAGGGAATTTCATCACCTTTCAAGACAGACCAATGGGGATTCTGTAACGTACAAATAAGTCGAAAACCGTACATCGGAAATTTCACCCGATCGTAATACTTTCCTTACCTAGTATAGGTAGTAGGAAAGTAAAAAAATTGTGACTTAAATTCCTGAAATTATTTTTCATCCTTATTATTGTTTAATAGATTACTTACCCATCTCTAAAATTCATTTCGATTTTCACAAATGTACTGATATTGTTTTCCCACAAACTAAAAAAATAGAACGCATTTTACTTAGCGTTTTTTAGTCGCTTATTTTATATCCAAAATGAACCTTAATTATTTTTTTTTTTAAATCGAGATAAGTATAGATTCCTGATGATATCAGTATAAAATCCTAAAAACCTTACCCTCTCCATGGATTCGTTACTTATCCATTATATTTATATTTATATATATATAAATAGAGAGAGAAATAATAACAAAGGGAGAGAAAATGTCCATAGATACCAAACCAGGAACAGAATCACATTTATTTGTTTTAGGCCGAATAGGACTTTATCTCGAATGCAATAGTCACAACGAACATATGGAAAGAGGGCTTTACTTAAGCCGAAACGGTACGGAAAAACACACAATATAAAAATATCCGAAGGGAAATAGAGCTAGAAAATTGAAACAAACGGTCGGCTAAAAACAGGAGGAAAACACTAGGTATAACTCTCGGGAGGGCGAGATTACAATTTAGATAGAAGACAGCCTATATAGAGATAAATCATTGGCTGCGGCGATATATCGCTAATAACACCGATACCCACCGGCCCAGGGAGTGACTTATTCGACCTGCACATCCATCAGACTATTTAAACAGAACACATCAATTCATACCCGACCTTTTCACTACGTCTTCAAGCGTTGAGTTAAATTCTATGTTATCAGTAAGTTCCATATTTTTATTAGATGAGGAAAAGGCCCAGATTGAGTACATGATTCAACTTATATAAAAAATAAATGCTGACAGAAAACAATATGTCAAGGAAGAATAAGCGTGTTTAATAAAGTAATAAAATTATTGTAAAGTTCTATTATTTCATCCTCGTTAAATAATCAAATAAATTAATTCCAAAGTATGGCGCTGCCCCATCGAACGAAACTGTTACTATAATATCTTGAAAATAAATACTAATAAAATTAAAATAACCTACAAAAACTAATACATCAAATTATTCATGATTTATCACATAACAATGAATGATTAATTTAAGTTTCTTTAAGTTCTTGTAAACTCCAATTATACAACATTGTAATTTAATCTTCCTGCTTCTTATTTAACAATATATAAATATTTGAATTTTCCTTGATATCAATGAATTTGACCAAAATGATCTTTAAAATATTTACAGTAAAAAAATATTATTATCAGTCTAAAACTTTTTGTTTTTTAATAATCGTATTTATTTTTATTTTTTACCAATCTTCCGATGCTCAAGATCCCGGCCATGACAGAAGAATTATTTATTCTCTTTTATCAGCTGTGGGGCGACTCTGGGATCAGGAGACCCTCCTGGGGCACACCCAGGCTCTAAAGACTGGATACATTTAATTAAATAATTAGTTAAGGGGAAAAACCTGGCGGTCGAGCGTGATCTCAGTCATATCAGCTCCTTGCACAACCGTTGACTAAGAAACAGTATTTTCCCTAAATAGAACCAAACCCAAGACCATTCATGGGGTCATTTTTTAAAAATTTGTTTATTTAATAATCGCAGGATTTTAGTAAACAGTAATTATTTCATATAAGAATCAAAGATTTTTTTCTCAATTTAAATCTAATTGTACGAATTTATAGGACAATTTACTCGAGTGAGGAGTGGAAAGAAGAAAAGATCTTTACTTTTTTTTTTACGTACTATCTTTGCGAAAAACACCAAAACGTCCATAAAGTATTCACTTTTGTACTCTCTGTTTAAAGTTCTATATGAGCAAGTAACTTAACTCAGCAGTGAGCTCATTGATGTCATAGGTTCGTCTTTTTATAGACAGATCCGATTCCAACGATTAGTTCACCGCTGAATTTAGAAACTTCCGCTATTTCTTAATAATATTTCGCTTATCATAATATATTATTATATTTAATCTTTACAATGTGAAATTCTATATAAATATATATATATATATATATATATATATATATATTATAACCTTCCTAATCTATCCCTGATAGTCTTTAGAGGTGTCTGATAAGATACTAGCCACGGGACTTTCTTTTATTTCAGAACTGTAGTTAGAGTATTAATATTGCCAACAGCAAAAGTATTTCTTACAGTACTAAATCTCGATAAATTTAAAAATAATCGATAAAAATAAATAATCGAT